TCCTCACACTGTCGTAAATACCAGTCAACAGATCCTCATAAGTAAATTCGAATCGCAGTGATCACAGTATGCAAACTTTCCCGATACAGCGTTGTACCCTTCTTATGTCTTAGGACCGGAGTAGCTGATCCGACACAACCACAGGGGGATCCCGAAAACTCTTGGACACTTTACAAGCTGATCAGAAAGATCCAGGAGTTCTGGTATCTGTGGGGAACATCTCTGTGGTAGCCATCCGTCGTGGTAACTTGAAAGGCACTTGTCGGACATCTCTTTCCGTTGCGATCTTGCTGCGCACAAAACGTTAAACAGCGTTGCCCCCATTCAGGTTCGTCTTTGAAGCGGTGCATTCCATCTAACTCAATAAATGAATTCAAAGAGTCATGAAATTCAGGAATGGTGTGCTGAAGATTGTAAATTGGGGGGCGTCCCACTGGTTCAAGTTGAGAGTAGTCCCCCCGAACACACAAGTTAAGTCCCCCAAATGGTTGGTATTCGTCTTGCATCAAGGTCTTGGTGTAGTGGAATATCTTCACTAAGTAAGTTCCCCGCGAATGAAATTTCGTGATGATAAGCATCCGTGCGTCACTCCATTCCTTCTACCAAGTTCTTCGCCACACTTCCCGAGTTCTTTTCAATCCCACAGCTGAAGCGTTGTTTCCCCATGATATTGTAGCAGCAACCCCGACATAGCAGTGACAACAATGGTTCGGTCGTAAATGGATGATCAATCAAAATGAGAATTCTTTGCCATAGGCATGACTAAGTCAATTACGTAGTCTTCCCACTTCCTCCAGGCCATGTAGAAGAAGAATCAATTGGTGCCACGACTTCCCTCAAAATCAAAAGTTTTTACGAGAAAGTCGGACTTTGCCTTCAACCCCATATCCGGGACTCCATCTCTAAGTCCCCTTTCAGCTTCCTCATAAAATGTCAACAAGAAGGCTCAATGTCCTGAAAGCCTTCTCTGCTTGTCGTCCAGATTGGCAGCCGTTGCCCAGTCACTTATACTTCTCACGCTTCATTCGCCTGCACACTTCAACCTGCGGATGTACTTAAATACATTTGCCCTTGGATGCACTCCCGTTTGTTAAGTAGAACTTCAATGATCTTTGATATCGAGGTGTAGGCGGTTTCACTTTGCTTCTCTTTTTATTGCCAGGACTTTCTGGCAAGCACATTTGATGGTCTTAGTTTTACGGCTATACGTCACAATGGAAGCGACAACGCAGGATATAACGTGCAGTTACCCATTCCTGACAATTCGTTGGATGAAGACGAATTTGTTACCATAAGTGCTGACTTTCACACGACTGGCACTACAAAGAGAAGCAAAGTGAAACCGCCTACACCTCGATATCACAAGATCATTGAAGTTCTACTTAACAAACGGGAGTGCATCCAAAGGGCAAATGTATTTAAGTACAATCCGCAGGTTGAAGTGTCGCAGGCGAATGGAAGCGTGAGAAGTATAAGTGACTGGGCAACGGCTGCCAATCTGGACGACAAGCAGAGAAGGGCTTTCGAGTGTATCATTGCAGCCTTCTTGTTGACATTTTATGAGGAAGCTGAAAAGGTGGACTTAGAGGATGGAGTCCCGGATATGGGGTTGAAGGCAAAAGTCCGACTTTCTCGTAAAAACCTTTTGATTTTGAAGGGAAGTCGTGGCACCCAACTGATTCTTCTTCTACATGGGCCTGGAGGAAGTGGGAAGACTACCGTAATTGACTTAGTCATGGCCTATGGCAAAGAATTCTGCAGTTTGATTGATCATCCATTTAACGACCGAACCATTGTTGTCACTGCTATGTCGGGGGTTGCTGCTACAATACTACATGGGGAAACAACGCATTCAGCTGTGGGATTGAACAGAACTCGGGAAAGTGTGGCGAAGAACTTGGTAGAGGAATGGAGTGACGCACGGATGCTTATCATCGACGAAATTTCATTCGCGGGGGAACTTGACTTAGTGAAGATATTCCACTACACCAAGACCTTGATGCAAGACGAATACCAACCATTTGGGGGACTTAACTTGGTGTTCGCGGGGGACTACTCTCAACTTGAACCAGTGGGACGCCCCCCAATTTACAATCTTCAGCACACCATTCCTGAATTTCATGACTCTTTGAATTCATTTATTGAGTTAGATGGAATGCACCGCTTCAAAGACGCAGTAAGTTTCTTGAAGGATCAGTTCCAATACTCGAGTAGTGGACTGGGTCTCGCTGAAACCCTTCCTCAGGGACAGCGGTAGTCAGGCAGTTCAGGGAGCCTTGTCGTGCCTCAGGAGTATTCCAACACCTCCAGTAGGCACCAAACCAAGGACTTGGCCCTGTCAGTCAGACAGGAGGGCCAGCAGAGCTCTCTGCTGAACCCTTTGGGCCAGCTCTCCTCAGGAGCTGGGGGCCTTCGTTATTCAATCGTGCAGTGGCAGTCTGGGAACAGTACTATCTGCTACCTCCTACTGCTTCTGCCCGGCCTCAACAGGATTGGTATCAACTGCTGCGGTATCAATGGGGCTACAAGCTAATCAGGATCGGTCTCAATCTTTCGTACTATTTTCTTAACTATGGTAGAAAGGACGATCCTTTCTTGCTGCTTTGCTGGAGATAAGCCAGCTGCGGGTGCTGGAGCTGTAGGCCAGCATAGCTGTTGGAGCTATCTCTGACGGGATCCAGAGCTCTCGCTCCTAAAAGTTATCGCTCCCCACGAGTGCGTATGGATCCGCTCTCATGGGAATGCCACGATATACGATTAGTTACTAACTAACTACAATACATACTCTCCCCATGAACGGAACATTCATGGGCCACTCAGCATCGGCTGCTAGTGGAACACAATGTGAGATTGGAGATCTCACAAGTGGAGGGACTTGCATGGTTGGTCGGTTGCTGGACCAAAGGTAGGCGCAAAGGGATTGCGTGCTCATCAGCATGGCCAGACTTGGAAGGTGTCGGCGGTGCTGGTTGCTTCCGTAGTTCTTGTTTTGTTTTCTTCATATGTAGACAAATATTTGTGGCTTTGCCACAGGCCGAATTCAGCGGTGGCAAGCTCTCAGTGGAGCGGCCTTCTTGCCCCGCAATCATGTTCCTTGACGGATGGGATGGATGGGCTGCACCAGACAGGGACGTAGTCTAGTTGCCCGTCCGAAAATCCAGGGGCGTCACCGGGATTGGTCCATTGCCATGCACTAATGCCATGGCAACCAGCTTTGGGGTAGAAAGCATGGTGTTGGTCAGCTTCTGGGAAGGGGACACCATGGCAGTCAGCTCCTGGGTAGGAGACACCAAAGCTGCCTTGGTCAAAGGTGCTTGCTGTGGTTGCTCCCCATGGATTCCACCAAGAGCAGAGGGTATCTGCTTGGTGGGCCTCCTGGCAAATGGACTGGTGATGGTTGGACCAAGGCTGTCCTATCCAAAGACAACGGCACCTCATTGGGTACGAGTCTTGTGGCATTGGCTGTGCCATAGGTTGGTGGTTCTGTGGGAACCAGGCTGGGAACCTTGGGTGTCACTGTGGGTGATGACCACTAGGTCTCCTCCATGTTGGTTGTGGTGGGCCCTTGTGTGCTCTGTGCCTTTGGGCAGGTTGCTTGGGGGTCACACCTGTGTGGTCTGCTCATATGCTCTTGGCTTGGAGCTGGCTGAGTGGGAGCCACACTTTGGTCTTTTGGTTGTGCAACTGGAATGTTGTTGGCACCAGCTCCTGGAAGCTGGTTGCTTGCTGGCTGGGGTTTTGCCATCATGATCTCCCAGAGGTTGGATGACTACTAGGGTGGCAAGCTCGATAATCTCCCCATCATCAACGATGGATGGGCACCAGCGAGGGCATTCAAGGGTGGCACTGGGCAGCTGGTGGCTCGTAGCTGGGACACGCAGGGGTTTGTGACAGGCAACTCTCCACAAAGCTAGCTTGGGAGATGTAGCCGTGGCTACATTGGTGGCAGCTGGGTGGTGGCCAAGAGGGCATCAGTGCAATCGTTGCTGGATGGCAGTGGCATCTTGTTGGAACGAGTAGCCCTGTGGCGCTGCTGCTTCTTGGGGCTGTGGAGCCGTTGGGTACCAATTGCGCTGTCACCAGTCGGCTGTGGACGCCATCAACCACTGCCCATGGCTGACAGTGGAGTGGCATTGGTCTCCCCATGAACTGATGGTCCAAAGCAGGTGTAGTGCTGTGACTGGTGGCCTGCAAGCAGCTACCACGACCAAGCTCCAGTTTAGTGTCAGTTGGTCCTTCAAGGCGATGAACTGAGCTTCCATCTTTCGCTTGAAAGGTTTCGTGGTCAGCTCTAATGAGGTTGAGTGTGGGCACGTGCCTGGTTTGGCTTTGTTTGAAAACGGTTCCAGCATGGTCTTTCATGGCTGAGGGGTAAAATGGGGATCTGTTGGTGCATCCAACGGAGCTGTCAGGGAGACAGCTCTGAAAATTCAGGAGGACCGATCTGAGAATGAGCGGTCTGGGTTGATACTGGGGCTGCAGCTCTGAAATCCCCCATTCACCATCTGGTCCGCTTGAGTAACATCCGAAATTTAAAGTACTTGAGGTTAGGTAGTTTCCTAACATAGGCCATTGGTGCCGGCCTCTTCTAAGGATGTCGAAGGGTGAAGTTGTATGTGTCTGGTGGGAACACATGTTGACACAGGTGGTGCCGAGTGTCTTCTCAAGAATGTCAAAACGGATTTGTATTCATCTGGTGGTGCACTGGTGTGCTGTGTGTCCCGATGCCTGTGGCGGTAGGCAAGGTTAATGTTGCCGGCTCCATCGTGTGTGTGTGGGACGGGCACAGTTGTAGCACCTTGGACTTGTTGGGGCCAGAGTAGACGCTGTGCCACCAACGTTCGGAGTTAGCCAGGGGCATAAGGGTCACTCACATCGCTGTAGAAACCGTAGAAAGATACATGGTGCCTCTTGTTACGAAAGAATGACTGTTACCGGTGGAAGCACTGGTTTTCAGCTCTTGTAGCAGTAGAATAGGCTGACTCAACCTTTACTTTGGGAACCACAAAGGATACTTCAGGGACCTTGCTATGGGGTAGGAAATTCAATTTGGTGGTAATTGAATAAGGTAGCCTGTGTACAAGGGCTGGAACCTGTTTCCTGAATTGCTCTGTGTGTGGGAGATGCGCTTGGTTGTGTTTGCCACTAGGAGCCAGTCAATTGGACCAATGAATCTCCCCGCACAAATTGCCGTGATGAAGGTGAGATACCCACTGACCAATTGAACGGGGATGCTAGTTTCAGCCAGGGACGTTGGCCGAGGTATGTCCGTGACTCTGGCTCTCGAGTTCCCTCGGTGGTCCCCGTAGGGGATGCGATCCGTACGGGAATTCAATGACTCGACGGGGTAAATCGCTTAAATGTGAGACGCAAAGGTTACCAGTTGAGGGCCTGCTTTCGACAAACCGGTACGGGGAACGTTGTCCTATAAGTCTTCGGAGTCCAGGATCGCAAAAGATCTTCTAGTACGTTCAGCGCGACGTTAAGAACTGACTCAGTGTACGCGCAATAAGTACCGAAACTGCACGGACGATCTGATTGGCTGAGCTGCTTCCGCCTGATGTTCTTCAACGTTCCGTGAAATCGCTGAACACGATCCAGTACGTTCCTTGGATCGCTCGAAACTGTACAGGACAGAAATTCGTGACACTCAAAACTGCACGGACAGGCTGAAGAGATAAGCCTTGGTCTTGACCAATAAATCACGAAAAATCAATGTAGGATTGGAAAGCGATAAGCCCGAAGCGAAAGAGATATTGTCGCGTTCAACGTAATAAACAGCTGATGTTCCACAGATTCTGAGGCACGTAGAAGGTCTGCGTCAGATAAGTCTCGTGTTCTCTCGGAGACTCCAGGTTCCGTTTGACGGGACCAGTGCTTCTTCTTTCGAGTGAATTGGTTGCTTTTTGGTGTCAAGGAAGCTAACTCAAGTCAATGGCGTCGAGTCAAGATGGTAGCTCTTGTAGGTCCCTTTCTAATGGCAATGGGCTTTGTGTTGGTCTCCTAGATGGTAGACGACCAATGCAAAGGTGCTTGTCGCTCCGGTGAAGACTAGAGCTGTCAGAATTGACCAGAAGGTTGTTGAGTTATGACTTCAAAATGGGCCTTGAAATACTTCCAAAATGCCAATGAAATCAATAAACCAACTGTACTATTGAGTGTAATTCGAAGAGATCCTTTTCTCGTCAAGGAGGTCTCTTCTTCCCTTAAGACTGCCTGCAAATCTATGCTGACTGTTAATCCAGTAAGTTTCTTGAAGGATCAGTTCCAATACTCGAGTAGTGGACTGGGTCTCGCTGAAACCCTTCCTCAGGGCAGCGTAGTCAGGCAGTTCAGGGAGCTTGTCGTGCCTCAGGAGTTTCCAACACCTCCAGTAGGCACCAAACCAAGGACTTGGCCCTGTCAGTCAGACAGGAGGGCCAGCAGAGCTCTCTGCTGAACCCTTTGGCCAGCTCTCCTCAGGAGCTGGGGGCCTTCGTTATTCAATCTTGCAGTGGCAGTCTGGGAACAGTCTATCTGCTACCTCCACTGCTTTGCCCGGCCTCAACAGGATTGGTATCAACTGCTGCGGTATCAATGGGGCTACAAGCTAATCAGGATCGGTCTCAATCTTTCGTACTATTTTCTTAACTATGGTAGAAAGGACGATCCTTTCTTGCTGCTTTGCTGGAGATAAGCCAGCTGCGGGTGCTGGAGCTGTAGGCCAGCATAGCTGTTGGAGCTATCTCTGACGGGATCCAGAGCTCTCGCTCCTAAAAGTTATCGGACGATCCTGAATGGGGGCAACGCTGTTTAAGATTCCGTGAAGGGCGACCAACAGAAGAAGATATTGAGACCATCAATGACGCGTGCATGGTTGGCCCGACCCATGTTCCACCAGAAGAACATTCAAGTTGCTACTTATCTGAATCGAGATCGAGATGCCATTAACTCAGTCTTTTCGGAAGATTTTTTTGCGGGAAGAACAAGCCTGCTGATGATTCCGTGCTGATGGATGCAGTACTCATTTTCATGGACGATCTTCAAATGGCCAATCAAGCAGGGACACTGGTTCCTGTTAAGAGCAATTCGGCTTTAAAGCACTTCTTTTCAACATGTGGAGAAGACTCGTTAAAACCCGGTTCGGACTCACGAAAACGTGTTGATCCTGCTTTGAAGTTATATAAGGGTGTCCTGTAATGTTTACAGAGAACACGAATGTTCCGAATGGAGAAGCCAATGGATCTCGGCTTTTTATGAGAAAGGTGAATGTGAGGCATGGTTGCACACATGGTTATTCAACTCGACAACGGCTGCAAGATTCGGGCTTTTTTCTCAGGTCAAGTCAAATCTATCCTTGTGGAACATGAAATGGAGACTATTATGCCACGTACTTTTTATGTAACGGAGCAAGACTACACTTTCAGTACCAGATGGTTCTATGACGGAGAAGTTGTACACACCAAGATGAAGGGTAAGCAGTTCCCGATTATCAGCAATTCTGCGACAACTGGACACAAATTACAGGGATATACTGCAGTGTGGTTATTGGTACATTCATGGCGATACTGTCAAAACTGGGCTTACGTGGTGTTATCAAGGGTGCGAACCATGAGTGGTTTGTTCTTATTGAAGAAGCTGGATTGGTATCCAAAGAACTTTGCCATGCCACAACGAATGAGAGACATGCTTGCAAGATTTAAGGATACTATTGGGCTTTCTGTCCTAGGAGAAGATCAATACGATGAAATGTTCCAGCGAGAAGACGGGTTCTTGTTATAAGTATGAACGGCAGGGATATAGGGTAAATTAATCTGTATATAAAAACTTTTATTACTACAACTACCTTTCTGAGATTCGCATTGCACCTCGTACGTCATTCAATGTCAGTCATTGAAAAAAGATCAAGCGTCCAATCAAATCACAGGCGACCCCGAAAAATTGGGAGCCAACTTTTAAAATGTGAAGAACGCAAGGCGACTTTCATGTGCATGTACATGCGTTGACTGTATCCCGTCAATACAATACTAGTCGAATACGTAGACTTCTACAGGGCCTTCTAAGTAATGCGCGCGGGGTATAATTCAAACCTCTGCCCCCATCCGTACCATTACCCCTAAAAGCAAGTCGTCTCCAGGAGACGAAATAGCTATCCCACAAAGAGTCTGAAGAATTGCCTTACTGCGCTGCACATTTGTGGGAGGCAGTCCGTTGGTTTCCATCCGATTGAATCTACCAAGATCATACAACAGAACCAAAAGCCACGCATTAAAAACTGCACTCAGTATCTTTTATTCTATTGAAACAAGTTATAGTAGAGATCCAATTGTCCACACCGATCTAATACCCGATTTTTCGTTCCAAGACACCTGCCTGCTTACAACAAGTCTAGGTATCCACCAGGTCCAGATCCAGTGGGAGCACCTGCTGAAGCACCATGCAAAGAGGACAAATAGTTTCCAGCGGATGGGGCCACACTGGCTTCAAGGGCGGAAGTGAGTTCTGTGGTCTCAGAGGCAACAGGTGCGGCGTTTGAAGGTTTTTGAGCTGCAGTCAGAATTCGTTGCATATCAGAATTAATGTCCTTCAAGATATCAATTGTAGCTTTTTGGTTCTTGCTCATGTTTTCTTTCATGTTGTTTATGGCAGCCAAAACTGGCTCATTGGACACCATGGTGACTTCTGTAGCAGCTTCAACCTTTGCTGTCACACTGGCAGCTCCTGCAATATTGTCGAGGTAAGTTGCGGGGCCAAGTCCTCCCATGACAGTATCGGCTGAAACTGTGAGAATATCAAGGTATCCAACAGGGCCACTTCCAGATGGAGCAGCCGCAACCTTCAAAGAGGACAAGTAGTCTCCAGCAGCAACAGCTGTGGCAGAGTCCGCGATCTGCGACGTCGACGTTATCGGGGGCAGACCCACCAATTCCGACATGGAAATGGCAGCAGCACTTGCGGGAGCAGCAGGGGCAGCTGGTGGGGCGGCAGGGGTGGTAGGAGCAGCATTTCCACCCATATTATCCAAGTAGCTTGCTCCAAATGCAGGACCAGCAGCACTGGCAGGCTTGAGCGAGGAGGTCTTGACGGAGCCACCTCCTCCCATCTGGGACAAGTATCCACCTTGAAGGGCAAGGGATGGAGCAGCCAAAAGAGCAACAATCGATGCAGTGAGCTTCATGTTCAAAGGTGATGTGATGGGTATCTTTTGAAAAACTAGTTTCTTTGTATCTTTGCGCCAAAGAGGAGATTGTGGTGATAGCAGTTGTTTGATGGCTCTCATCAAAGCATGATTTCTTCCGCATCTTCGTGCGTATGCATCCCTGTCTTTCATCAGCCGACAGATGCACGGGGTCAAGGGAGCCAATGGGAGCTAATGCTAGCTAGAATGGGTTGCTGGGTTTGTTGCGAATTTGGATTTGGTTGGCTTTGGGTGACGTGGGAGGAAAATTACCCACGTCATTGCATTTCGGAAGCCCATTGCCCTTCCGTTAAAAATTCGACAAATCGATCAGTGAGTTCGAATTATCTTTTCACTGACAAGCGCCCAGACCGCCAGGTCCGAGCCACCGAGCCAAAGAGACAAAAACACAACAAAAACACAAAGACGACCATGGCATCTACTATCGCTGTGAACCGCCTTCGAAAGGAGCTATCCAAGCTGAAGAAGGACCCTCCTCCTGGAATTATTGCCGAGCCAAAAGAATCTGACATTTTGACGTGGTTCTATGCGCTTCAAGGTCCTCCTGATTCACCCTATGAAGGCGGCGTCTATGTGGGCAAGCTACGGTTTCCCTCCGAATATCCCATGAAACCCCCCTCGATCATGATGATGACTCCCTCGGCCCGATTTCAAGTGAATACGCGGTTGTGCATGAGCATGAGTGATTTTCATCCCGAGAGTTGGAATCCCATGTGGAGCGTGGCTACCATTTTGCAGGGCGTGGTCTCTTTCATGACATCGGAAGAATTGACCACGGGGGGCCTCAAAGCACCGGATAGCGAAAGAAAGCGACTTGCGGGGCTTTCCAAAGCGTATAACGACAAGTTTTTCAAGGATTTGTTTGATGGGGATATGGACGCGGCATTCCAAGAGGCAGAGGAGGCTCGGCAAAGTGCCGAACAAGCCCAGGCCCAAGGCGCCAATGGGGAAAGCTCGACGGTTGGCAGAGGTGGTCGAAGCAGACGGGTGGCTGGGCCACGGCGGAGAGAAAAACAGAGCGCAAAATCGGAAGATAAAGCAGAAGACGAGGAGCAATCCGACAATCACCAGGAACAGCAAGAGCAAGAGCAAGAAGAAGCAGAAGAATCTGCCCCCAAAGAGTTGTCTGCAGCAGAAATAGAGAAACGGAGAAAGAAAAATGCAAAGAAACGAGCCAAACAAAAAGCCAAAAAATCAGGCGCCAAAGTGGAGGACGGAAGTGACGATGCTAACAAGGAGGAGGAAGAAGCCGAAGCAGCTTAGAGCTAGCTGTTACCCAATGCACAAATCTGCTAGTGGAGTACTAGCGAGGTGCTTTTCAATTGCCGGTATCATCGGACTGGTTAGCACAGTGCGTGCTTTACCGACACTTAGTGCATTATGGCCTAACTCAAGGGTTAATATATCTGAATGTGTCGGTTACAGGGAGACGTTGCAGCCCGGTATTTTCTTTTCTCAATAGAAGCATCATAGCCTGGAGTTCTGAATGGCTCCTGCCTCCTTGTCTGAATCACAGATCTTTCCCTGTTTCGGAGGGCTGTGACCGCCAGCAGAACCCAGTGCATCATCGTCGTGTGCAAGCAAGGCACCTCGTACCGTTGGGCCCGTCGGCGAATCGAATCTCTTCATTCTTCACTCCATATTGCTCTTCACTCCATATTGCAAAGCATTGTGATGTTCTGTCGTGAGCCCATGTTCCTTGCCACGTCGAGTCGTCCTTCTTCAGTGTCATTGCCTGGTCTCTGCGGAACGAACAAAGGAAAGACGAGAAAGTTGCGAGAGGATGAACCGATGCTCCGAACGAGCGACACCCGTAGTTTGCCGATTGCTTCAGGGGTCGTCGAGCTAGTTCGTGGCGCAACTCTTTGGTGGAAGGATTGTACTACTCCCGTCTCCCCTCGCCCGCAACATTGCCCAATGGATTACCATGGGACAGTGCCACAAGTGAGAAGCGGCGAGAGTACAGTCGTCCAACAAGAGTTGCAAGGCAGTTCAAAGGTCGAATTGGTTGGTCAGAAATAAAAAAAGTGAGCGCACAAAGGAATTATCAATACTATGAAGAAATCCAAGCAAGCAAAAGCTGTCCGCACATTGTGAACGTGATGTGCGTGAAAGGGAAGCCCAAGGTTGGTTGTGTGCGTCGAGGTCACACCGAAGACATACGCACTACCTATTTCCAACAAGATGTGTACCGAATTGCCACCTGCGGGCATACCTGATGACCTCTTCTGACCTATGCGAACAAAGGTTCGAGGCCTCTAGCTCGAGCTAGTTAGCTTTTGCTCGTAACTGAGGGCCACGTTCTAACTCTTGAGAAGATGGTGTGTGTAGAGTGCAGACTCGACTCGACTCGACTCTTCCTGAAAGAACCGGTTGTAGTAGACTGCCCGGTACCGGTATCCACCCTGCTCTGAGAGCATGGCGTTACAGTCAGCCCTCGCTCTTATTTATAATCTCTTATTTATTCCCTCTATTATATTTATTAAATCTCGAGATCCCCCCCCCAGTCATGAGTGACCGTGACTGCAGTCATGAGTGACCGTGACTGCAGCAACAAATCTTTCGAGCAGCCCGACAACGTTGCACAATCCATTCCAACCGTTTCAATTTGACCGAGATGGCATGTAAAATGCCGATACATGTATAGATCCAATGGACGTGGGATTCCTCGCACCTCTGCGGTACCTCTGCACGCACCTCTCAGAGGCTGTCTCGTCGGTGCCAGCCCAAGCCCTGGTTGCTTACGTGCATTTTTGGAAGGATGGTTTTGACCAGACAAAAACAATTCTTGTGAGCTGCCAAACAATTTCACGCAAACCATACCAAAGGCTCCAATCCGACCTAGACCAACATAGCGTGATAGCTCCCTTCATTCGTACTTTACTAGCAAATAAGGCCCTAGAAAACGCTTATATTTATGCCCTCCATTATATTTATCAAAGTCCAGGATACCCCCTCATAAATAAGAGAGAGGGCTGACTGTATATTCATTCCCTTCGACGGTCACAAAAGTACGCATGAGGGAAAATACTGGTGACGTGGACCTGGGAGATGTTAAAATAAGCGGGAATTCTCCGTTTTTTAAACACCACCAGCTTTTTCCCTGCTTTGTTTAACACCACCAGTTTTCTTCCCCTTTTGTTTAACACTAAGGCAAACAAGCTGTAAACATGCTGTATCATGAAACCAAAGAAATAATGAGAGTTTTGATTCAGGCATCACAAGAAACTCTTGTTTCTCCAAATTGACTAAGTGTGTGCTCAAATACGGGACTGAAGGACAATAGAGCTAGGGAGCAAAAAGTGGATGTTAAAGCTTTGGGTAAGTGCGTGTTAATCACTGATGAATAAACTGGTGGTGTTCAAAAAAGCGAGAATTCCCGATTCTTTTAACATCTCCCAGACCTTTCTCGTCCATTGAACTGAGGCAACATCATCGACAAGCACACCAGCTTGTCTGTTCCAAATGCGGCTGTGAGGCAGAAACAAAGAGATCGAATGAATCGTCTGTGGCGACAAAGGCGAAAGATACAGTTAGAGTCTAGTTGTTACGTTTTGTTTGACAAGTGACTTTTTCACTTTCGAAGGACCAATGGCTTATCAACTGATACCAAGATTTGCTTCGCGGAGTGCCCTCATGTCGAGTCCTACCCAACTGGTACTTCGGCTTGCACGTCTCCCTACTATTAGAAGGCATTCAGTGCTTCTGACCCTGCAGGACCATGGGCTGCTGAAAGCAACTGGGTGGACGAGACGACAGTTCTCTTCCAAATCAAGGCAATTCCAGGTCACCCAATTTCAGGCTGCCGACGGGCTGGTGACCAACCATGGCAATAATCCAGAAGAAGAAGACAAAGACAAAAACCAACGACGGCCAAGAAAAGTCACTGTGTACTTGTCGAACGAAAATTCCTCTCAGTGGACCACCACAATCCCTTCCAACGAGCAGCATGACAAGGATCGGAATAATACAACAAAAACAAAAACAACAACCAGCAATTCCCTGCAACAATATCTATTTGACAATGTCATCACACACTTTCTTCCCGCACACTATCCACACAGTGTCGCACCGGGCTATGCAAAATTCAGTATATTGGCATTTTCCGCTTCGGCGGCGGGAAGTGCTGCCATGGTATTGAGTACCCAAACACTGCTATTGGCCGTGGGAGTGGTGGGAGCATCCTCGCACAACAATGCTTCCATCATGGCCGGTGCATTGAATTGGGTCCTCAAAGATGGCATTGGACAACTCGGGGGTGTCATTTTTGCCAGTCGCATGGGACACACCAAGAAATTCGATTCCGATCCCAAACGATTGAGAATGCTGGCGGCCCTCTGTTTGGATGGTGCCAGTTTGTTGGAAATATTGTCGCCCTTTGTACTGTCCACGTGGGTCTTGCCGTTAGCGTGTGTTGCCAATATTGGAAAGAATATCGGATTCTTGACGGCCAGTGCCAGTCGCGCCGCCATTCATCAATCTCTGGCGCGGCAAGGAAATCTAGCCGATGTCACGGCCAAAAGTGGAACGCAATCCATGGGGGCCGGATTGGTCGGGACCGCATTGGGCATTGGGTTGTCGACCGTGGTATTGCATCACGATGCCACCAACTTTGTTGTCGGATTTTGTGTCTTGAGTGCAATTCATCAGGGATGCAACTATTTGAGTCTCAAGGCTGTCCCATTGAGACGTTTCAATCGACATCGGCTCCATTGGGTGCTTTCCGAATATTGCAGTAATAGCAGCAACAACAGCAACAACAACACGAAAGATCAAGCACAATTCACAAGAGCAGTGCTGACACCCTCTCAAGTGGCGGGCCGAGAACAGTATTTTCCTCTCTCTTTTTCAAGCCCGGATGACGCTCATTCGTGGCTTTCCATTGGCTCTTCCTTGGAGGCTCTGTGTCCTGGCCCAGTACAAGACTTTCAACAGCTTTACGAGTTGTTGCAGGACGAAGCCTACTTGTTGAATATTACAACGGGGAGGATCCATTTGGTATTTCAGGAACATGCCACGGGAGAGGATCTGATCAAAGGAATGCTTCATGCGTATCTACTACATCACGAGGGACAACTGGGCGAAACACATGCAGATCATCATCATCTATCGGCAATCAAACATTCGTATCAGACTGTCCAAGAGACGTTTCCAGAGTTGAAAGAGGAACTAGAGCGGCATGGATGGATGACGGGAACTGATGTTACTAGCGTTGAACCGGCGGATGCCTATCGGCTGAACATAGAAGCAAAGGCGTAACTTTAGAATGCTAACGCACTACCATTTTTCAATCCACGGTCGCAAATCGAGTTCATGGGTCCATGCCACTCTCGGTTGTTGATGCAGGTTCCAATAGTTTTCCGCAATCGCTTCGGGCTCTAACAATCCATCGATTTCCACTGCTTTTTGATACTTGTCGTCTCCAATAATCCGTTTTACAAACTCGGTCTGAATGCCTCCATCAATCAGGACATGTGCCACATGAATGCCCTGCGGTCCCAACTCCCGTGCCATGCTTTGTGCCAAGGCTCGTTTGGCATGCATGGCTCCGGCAAAGGCGCAAAAGTGCGAACTGCCACGCACGGATGATGTCGCCCCCGTAAACAAAATAGAACCGCTGCCACGAGGTTGCATTTTAGCGGCTACAGCGCGACCCATTACAAAGGCCGAAAGAGCCGCCATTTCCCACACTTTAAAGTACTTGTTGGCCGTCATGGATGGATCCAAAATGGAAAAGCGCACGTTGGCACCAATGTTGTGAATGGCCACTTGAATGGGTCCCACGGTATTCTCGATGCGTTCGACCACTTGTTCCATTTGATCTTCTTTTCGGGCGTCGGCTGGAAACGTTTCACAACGAAACAATGGTGCCTGTAGATGATTGTTGTCGCTGTTTTGGCTTTCAATATCCATCTTGAGCAAGTCGAGTTTGGAGGCATCACGTCTCACCACGGCAACCACGAGACCTTCCTTGGCAAATTTGTGTGCCAAGGCAGAACCCAGAGCATCGCCGGCGCCTACAATCAATGCCACGCCTCGTTGGGACCCATCGTCTTCTCGAGGAGGGAGTTCGGAACGATCGGGCGTGTGATGACCAAGATGCAGATGAATGTGAGTGCTGGATATGGAGCGCTTGCTAATGGATCTTATTACCAATCTACGTCTCGTCACAATTCTAGTAGAGACATTGGCTAGTAGCAACATGGTACAGTAATTGAGAGGATAATGATCGACTTATTGGTCTCAAAGCTTGTTTGTAGCACAGGGGAGGTGCAGATAGATGATGGAGGGAGTGTGTTTTGTGTTTTGGTGCTCTGAAGAAGATCTTTCGGTGACACCAGTCACGAATAAGTTTGTTCACAGACAAAAAGATCCATCCACCAGGGCTGGAGGCCGCCGATGCTTGTGTTCAATGCCAAATGGAAAAGTACACATACTAATAGGCACCAATGTTGTGAATGGCCAATTGAATGGGTCCCAGGGTATTCTCGATGCGGAGGACCACTGGTTCCATATAAACTTCTTTTCGTGAGTCAGCTGGAAAAGTTTCACAATGAAAGAATTGATGATGATGCTGATGTTTTGGCTTTCCAACACAGCAACCACGAGACCTTCCTTGGCAAATTTGTGTGCCAAGGCAGAACCAAGAGCATCGCCAGCTCCTACAATCAAGGCCACACCCCATTGGGATCCATCGTTTTCTCGAGGAGGGAGTTCGGAACGATCTGGCGTGTGATGGCCCAGATGCAGATTGATGGGAGTGCTGGATATGGAATGCTTGCTATAATGGCTCTTAATACCAAGCTATTACTCGTCACAAACCTAGTAGAGACATTGGATAGTAGCAACATGGTGCAGTTTGTAAATAAGACTTATCTCAAAGCTTGCTGGTACCGGTTTTTATTTTTACGCTTATGGATTGCTACTTAGGATCCATAACAAAGGAACAAATGCGCATTCGACGGCAATGGGGGCCATTCTAGGCTTTGGATCTCCCAATGTCACAATGGAGAATAGTCTAACAGCCGCGGCAGTTCCCATCCAACTCGCAATCTCTCTGAGAAGACGACCTGTTTTTTGTCTTTCCAGCACGTTTCTGTTGTCACGGTAAAAGTTGTAAAGGCCATAATGAATGCCAAACGACATGATTGTTGGCACAGCCCAGAAAACCCGAAGATGGTTTTGGTCTTCTGCCGAAATTGACTTGCTGTCGTATGCAGGTGTCAAGAACATCCCGTTAATGCCATTGGCACCAAGCGCCGTTGCCATGCCGTGGACGACTACACGAAGGACAAGCCTTGCTGTGGATTGTGTAGAACCCATGTTGTTAGTTAGTAGAACTATGTACCAGTCCAAGCGCGATTGATGAGACCTACTGGCTTTAGAAAGCAGAGCTGTGGTTTTGTTGCTCCGAATCAAAGTCTTCACCAGGTGCAGCACGAAATGTTGTTCTTGGACAAAAGATCCAACCAGCAGAGCTGGAGGCGGGCCCTTCAAATCAAGTCTCAAAGCGTCCTCAAGGCGCGTCCCAGCGAAACGCCGAAACCCAAAACAACAACACAAAAACGCATTGGCGTGGAGCAACATCAACTTCCTTTGTTGATGCATTTACTTTGTAGGACCGCTTGTGTGTGTGATTTACAAGTGAACGAAATGGCGTCTCCTGCTCAAGCACCAAAACCCAAGAAGAAGAAGAAGTGTTTGTACAAAGAGGCAGAGCTGGTCCGCTATCATCTTCCACAAATGGTTGCGGATGACATTTCTGACCTGGAAGCAATGGTACAGAAAGACAGTGAGTTTGTGAAAAAGCTACAGGAGAATGATCTTTTGTACCATCTTCTATGCAAGGCCGTCAACTTATACCGAGTCAATCAGAAGGATCTTGCTTTCCAATGGGATGACTTGACTATCGTTGGGAGATTCGGTCTTCTCTCTTCAACCGTGGACGATTGGAAATGGAGCAGAGGAACGATTCGAGCGCAACCTGCAATGGATACCTCGAGAGATACGAACCAGTATTCTAGAGACAATCAACTATCGGCTACGTGTAGTCATGGGATTTCTGATTCCTTTTGTGGAGCATGCAGGGGAAGTCCACGATATGTATAACGAAATCAGAGACAAGTACAGGAGAGAAATCGATTTGACCACTCCATACCGAGCAGTCATTGAGAGTGACGAATAAACAAACGACAAAGCCAAAGGTGGCTCCAAATTGGGCACAATACTCATTGCTTCTGACAATACCAGTATACCATCACTAGGCAGCTATTGGGAACCGATGTGAATATTATTCATTGAGAAGTGTCCACACAACTAACTTGGCTTCCATAAAATAGATCATCCAATGCGCGTATTGATGATTTACTAAAAGTTTGTGGGGGTCACTGGCCTTCGCTTGATACTGGAATCGAATCACCATAATATTATCCTGACAACATGGCCTCATGGGTACCGGTACGGTACTGTATCCCTTTGCCCGCTGCTGTTGGTTGGGCGAATGCATGTGGTGTACCGGTATGGGAGCGGTGGTTGGATTCTTTCATTCATTGTGGACCATTTTCTTGGTTCCTGCCAAGGATCGCGTTGGCTTTGTCTTGGATAATCAATCCCATAGCGAATGAGTTTTGTGTACATATACCGACCGCATGGGGCTTTTTCATTCGGGTCATGATGTATTCGCTCCAAGACAAGGTTCCTCACGAAGTGGCCATTGCTACACTTATTGGTTTACTCATATCCTTGGCGGCCATGTCATGTTATATTTTCGCCAACCACGAAGTTGGCTAGGTTATAATTTTAGTTTTTCGTCTGTCGTCGTAACGTTTTAGGGTTAAAGATAGGGTTACCACAAGTCTGAGCCTTCAGAGCTGCCTTCTGTAAGGTACTGGTACTGGTAGGTAGCCACCGTACTAGCTAGCTACTACCAGGTAGTACGATACCAGTATGACAGCTTCCAGGTTCCTGGTACTAGCATTTCTTCCAGCTATGTCACACAAGTCAAGTTCCATTTCACCGGTACAGTACGGTTACATGTCCCGATACTGGTAGCTCTAGCTAGCTTGGTAGGGTACGGTTCCGGGTCCAGGTATGGTACTGTAGTTTAGCAGAGCCAATAACTGTAGTTTAGCAGAGCCATGGTACTTTGACTGGAACTGGGTATTATGATGGAAGTTGGAGAAGATCTGAGAGAGTTCAATGTGGTGAGGTACGGGTCCGGGTACTAGTAGCTTTAGCGTTCCGGGTTTTGGTAATCGTAGCTTTAGCTTGGTACAGTATGGTTCCAGATCCGGATACTAGTAGCTCTAGCTTGGTAGGGTACGGTTCCGGATTCAGGTACGGTAGCTTAGCAGAGCCATGGTACTGTGATTGGAACTGGGTATTATGATGGAAGTTGGAGAAGATTTGAGAGAGTTTAGCATGGTGAGGTACGGTTCCGGGTCGGGTACTAGTAGCTTTAGCTTGAGAGAGTTTAGCATGGTGAGGTGCGGTTCCGGGTCCGGGTACTAGTAGCTCTAGCTTAGTACGGTACGGTTCCGGGTTTAGGTACAGTAGTTTAAGTAGCAGAGCCATGGTACTGTGACTGGAACTAGGTATTAGGATGGAAGTTGGAGAAGATTTGAGAGAGTTTAGCATGGTGAGGTACGGTTCCGGGTCCGGGTACTAGTAGCTTTAGCTTGGTACAGTATGGTTCCAGGTGCGGATACTAGTAGCTCTAGCTTAGTAGGGTACGGTTCCGGGTCAGTAGTTTAGCAGAGCCATGGTACTGTGACTGGAACTGGGTATTAGGATGGAAGTTGGAGAAGATCTGAGAGACGTGGTTGGCGCAACCGGAGGCCTCTTGTTAAAATGGCCGATGCCATGTGTCCCTGGAGAGTGTCCAGTGAACACAAGCCAAAAAAGAATGGATCCTGGCTCCATCTTCTAAGCCATTAATGATAACCTCAACCCTTTTACAGAAATCCAACGTTGAAGAATCTTTTTTCAGTACTCGCGTTACCATAACCGGTACCTGAATCCGGAACCGTACCCTACCGGTACCATAACCGGTACCCGTACCGGTACGCATACCAATATATGCATCGAACGGTAAATTATTGGGCTGCACTGGCACCAAAACTGCTTTTTCCCACTTCCCATGCATGGACGGTGTGTTGTCGACTCGACTCAAACCACATATGCATAGTAAACCCGCTTTAACAACAACGTTGTGTTCTTGTCTCATTCAGGAAGCGAAGACACATACGCACTTGCTATTTCCTTGTGTAATCCCATACTATCTAGCTAGTAGGGAAAGACAAAGTCACAGTCGAAATTGACTATGAGAAAGCGAAACAAGTCCGTCGCCACCACACCGAAACCTACCCTTGAGGAGGGACCTGACGATGTGAATATTCTCAACAAACTCCAGGATATTGAGTCTGGAAAGTGCGTTGTGGAAGGATGGAACAATCCGATTCCACGGTACCAAAGCACCGTGGGAAAGATGAGGATGCTGTTTGCACCCTTGGACCCTGTATTTAGTCAATCAGGAGACTGGGTCTTGGCGGCAGAACCTTCCGATATAGCGCACATGTACCAGGCCTACATGCGCGTTCTCATGATTTACTACACGTTTGTGGGGGTCACTGCCCTTCGCTTGACGCTGGAATCACCCTATTATCCTGACAATATGGCCACACGGGTACTGTCGCTCATTGCCCGCTGCTGTTGGTCGGCGGAATGCCTGTGGTGTATCGGAGCAGTGGTTGGAATCTTTCATTCCTTGTGGGCCGTTTTCTCAGTTCCTGCCAAGGATCGCCGTCGCTTTGTCTTGGATAATCCCACAGCAATGAGTTTTGTGTATACCTATGGGGCTTTGTCATTCTGTCTCTTTGTCATTGGCGTCGTGACGGGAGCCATGGCATATTCGCTCCAAGACAAGTTTCCTCATGAAGTGGCCATTGCTACAGTTATTGGTCTATTCGTATCCTTGATCGCTATGTCAGCCTACATATATCATGCTGGGTCATTAATGGCAAATGCCATGCGTCCTTGGAGAGTGGCCTATGAACAAGCCAAAAAGGAATTGGAAGTCGGCAGAGAAGCACCCCATGATTATCATAGGTATCTCGAACACAAACGAGCTTCCATGCGCAATCTGGGCGAAGAAGACCAGGAACAACAACTATCGGCACAAGAGACACAAGACGAATACGCGTTGACAAACCACAATATGCAGGAGCATGCCGCGAAACTGCGATCGGCGGGTCTTGTCTTGCCAGAACTGGCAAAACTCCGTAATCCGACGCTGGCGGATCAGTTACTACAATCTGCAGGTGTCAAACTACCAGGCCACCGACTCAAAATCCTCTTGCTGCTGCAGGAACTATGTCCCTTGGAGGATGATGCCAGCACCGTTTACGCATTATCGCAACAATTGTCCATCGTGGAGGAGAACGAAAAGGATTATACCGGTGTCGACATTGACCCTGACTTGTAGAAGAATAGATTGTTCGATTGCGATGGTGTGAACCAACTCGGTTGAAGCAACAATTCTATCAAGCTGTGTAGCATCTGGTCTTTGGTTGTCGTTCACTTTTCAATGCGCTCTCCACAAAGATCGGTGTCAACGGTGCACATTTTGCCCTAGAGCTCGACCAAGACAGAGAAGGACATGATCAATTCACTTTTGGGACAGCATCACCGTCCAACCAACGTAGATTCAATGCTTCATCAAATCATTCAACTCCGGATGGACACTCCCGACAATGTACATCATAACAGCAATTGCAGCTTTCCAATGATACAGCTTGCAGATGCAACTTTCCAGTGAGGCTCTTGGCTTTGGCAGCACAGTGCTGTATTCAGGGTTCCTGCTGTTCCATTCATGACGGTGACCGAGTCTTGCCAGGTCCACTTTGGCAGCAGAGCCTTCCGATGTGGCACCCATGTATCAAAGTTACATGATGTGTGCCCTCACCATTTACAACACCTTTGTAGGGGTCACTGCCCTTTGCTTCTTGATGTTGGAATCACCATATCATCTTGACAAAATGGCCACTGTCCATCATTGCCCGCTGCCGTTGGTTGGCCGAATGCATGTGGTGTATCGGATTCTGCGGTGGTTTTACAGTTGGAATCGAATCTTTCATTCCTTGTGGTCCATTTTCTTGGTTCCCACCAAGGATTACCACCACTTTGTTTTAAAAACCCCGTTCTCCAAGCTTTGTTTTGGATACTCCCGCCCACCGCCATGAGTTTTGTGTACCGGCACTGCATGAGAGAGAGAGAGACACCCGAAGCGCTTCCTGGACTCGTTGCTTTGATGCTTTTTAAAATAGCAAGGTATTTCGCATTTTGGTTTTTCAATTCTGCTTTGTTAATTTTCCATTTGTTGCCATTTTATTCTTTTGTACAAGCTGACTTCACATTGTTGGAACGCGATTTATAGAGTCGTACAGCAGCTGTGCGTCTTTTCTCAAACCCCTTTATTTCGGGTACGAAATGGCAGCAGTCATCATTGACACATCACAACAACATCAAACTAACCACCATTCATCCAACCAACTGCATCTGAGAAAGAGTGGGCTACCGTACTAGCTAGAGCGCTGTCTAATAATCAGATCAGATCTGCATGAGTTACAGTCGACTTCGGCAACGAATTGCCGTGGTTGTTTTTCTGATCCTTTTTTGGGTCTGCCAACGAGGGACGAGTGGATCCACAGGGCAGCTACTATTGAAGAACAACAGCAAAATGAACCAAGACTTTGAAGATTTGGGAGAAACATCGCTGTCCGATGGTGCCGATCCCAACTCGATCCGGATCCTCCAAGTGACGGATCTACATATATTTCCCCGTGATTGCGAATCCTTCGAAGGAATACCTCTGGGAGATTCGTTCGACCGATGCCTGCAATTGATTGATCAGCTCGTGAAGGATGCGGAACCCGATGTGATTGTCTTTACCGGCGATATCATGGATGGGAGAGGTCCCTGGGGAAGAAAGGAGGCCGTGGTGGATACATTTCAATACATGATTGGGTGTCTGCATGACACGCCCTGGTTGTTTCTACCCGGAAACCACGATGATGATCACAGTCCCTGGTCTCGTGCCGATTTAGTCCAAATCATGAAACTACCAGGATCACTGCAGCAATCCGCCAAGGGGTTTCACCACACATTGCTTCTCTCCAAGAAAAGCAACATTGGTGCCAGTAGTATCAGAGTACGACTGCACATTTTCGATTCCGGTGGCAACCACCCCAACAAGCGAATCATGTACTACAATACACCTGCCACTGCCGTCCAAGGATTCTCACGCTACTTTTCTGATAGGCAGACAGCTGAATCGGATGTCACGGGATTGGTCTACATTCACATTCCCACGCCCGAATTCCAATTTGTCGATCCCGTCATTGGAGAAAACAGACTCTTTGCGGCAGCGTTGGCAGGGGGCAAAATACCCAAACAAGTATCCAAACTCATGTGGCTCATTAAACTACTCGGCGTCGATCGTATTGCCGGTTGCAGTCGAGGGCCCGATACCGGTTTGGTTCCTGCCATTCATCACGCCAATAAACAACATCATGCCAATATTCAGGCACTGTTCTGTGGACACGATCATCATTCCGATGCCGTCTTTTATCGAAAGGGACTCTTTCTAGGATATGGAAGATCCGGGGCCATGACACCACCGTACGACTGGGAGGGAGCGGCTCCCAATGTACTGGCCAAAGGTGGTAGAGTGGTAGAAGTGAGTCGTGATGGAGTTGCCAAAACATGGATACAAACTGCTTCTGGATTCGAAGATGGGTCTCTCTTGGATATGGTAAGATTTTACATTAATTTTGTGTGCAATATTGACTGCTGCAGTTCGTTTTTGTGGTGCTTACCCAATCTTCTGATACTTCCTTAGACAAACTATGAGCCAGACCAAAAGTGTTGTTGGCCCTTCTAGCTAGCTTCCTTCCTACGACTGTACAGCACACAAAAAAAGAAATACGATAATAATCAAACGAGAAGAAGACTCAACAATTTGCTTATCGAGGAATTCGATTCATGCATCAGGTTTTGGACCTTCTCCCAGCTAGCGAACCATTGACCGAAACAATCAGGAGCACATCGGGGGCCCACCTAACCAATGCGAACAGGCGCGGGGCAGTCATTGGAGGATGAAACAAATCAACGTGGGTGCGATCCGCTTCAAAAAGTCGGCAGGAGCAAGGAGAGCCACCCTTTCCAACAACATACTTCCTGCACCCCATCATTGGTTGGCTCTGCACTGACCAGGACTGGTTCCAACGAACCTAACTACAATGATGTTTGCCAAGCTACCAGGTAGCTAGCTAGTGATATCGTAGTTACTTGGTGTCGTCTGTTTTCAGTTTCTTGGACGGCGTACGCTCCGATCTCATTCTTGAAATTATGGACATCCATCGGCTACGTTCTTCTTCGGTTTCGACAGCCAACTTCCACTGAATGCGACCATCTAATATGGAGACTTGAAAGATAAACTTGTCTCCTTCTTGTGGTCCTTCTGTGACTTGCACGTCCTCTTCGTCCAGTGGCAATCGATTCTTCTTGGTGGCAGTTTCGGATTTGGTTGCCGCCTGCTCCTGGGAATTGTATTGATGTAGAACCCTCTTTCGGTTTTCGGCACCCGCTAGAACAAAGTACCGCTGGGACCAGTAGGGTTTACTACTGCCTGGTTCGTCTATCCATCGCCACAAGAGCCCCGATGTGGTTTTGACAACACGAGTAGTAGTAGATTGTTGTTGAGAGGTTGCTGGTTTGCAGATTTGCGCCATTTCATAGACCACATGGGCCGTCAAGCCCCAAATTTTGAATGTTTTTAGATCATCTCCTTTCCAATGATAAGTTCTCATCACAAAGACTTCTCCTCGCCAGTCAATCTCAAAGGGATCTTCGCCGTTGGCGTCATTCCAGAAATTTGATAACGGTACGTAGAAACAAGCCTCCACTTCGTCCTTGTTGATTTGGAGCTGGGACGGAAGGACCGGATTCTTCCAAATCCCCACAATGGGTGTCACACAGAGCCCTCCGACGCTCTCAACAGTCTCCATTCGTGCTAGTATGTCAATTTCGGTTTCTGGAATCCCCACTTCTTCTCTGGTTTCCCTCAAGGCCGTCACAACATCATCTCCCTCATCTTCCTTGTCTTGACGGCCTCCAGGACAACAAACTTCCCCCGGGTGTGACTTGAGTTTCATGGGACGTTGGGTCAAGAGCACATGCCATTCCTGGTTGCGCCCAAATGTAGGCTTGAAGAGACAGACCAGAATGCTGGCTCTCGGTAGTTTCTTGTGACGAGGCCGATCTCGTTTGGTCGTACCAAGGTCTATCAGAGGACGAAGGATTGGATCATTCTTGTAATGGGTTGCAGAGCTACAAGTTGTAGGAGTGGAGGACATGGTTGCTTTCCCTTCAGTTTGCCGTTGGCTTGTGTGTGTGATCGGTGATGTTGTTCGAATGAAGTTACTATGGATTAGAGAGCTAAGATGAGGAGGGGGGCAGAGCTCGAGGGGAGGGCACCATGCAGATGTTGGATTGTCGGATGCAGCCCCTCTAAGAAATAACAATAATATTGCGAGGAATCAAATCGAAGGATCTTGTGACAAATCTTCGTGGATGGTGGGAAAGGGCGTGAGGCTCCAAGGAGTTCTTTCATGGGAATGGTTCAGTCACTGGTCCAATTCAAAAAACACTCGAGTACTCAACACTCAACACCAACAGGATCCTCATTTGAATTTCCCGCCAGTATTAGTCAAGTCCATGCCATGCAGTGCCGTCATTGTATTACTGTAATTTGGTAGACTACATGTAGCACATAGCACTGAAAGGAAGCTATTGCATTCCCAGACCAATAATGGCATCCAAGAAGCACAAGAAGCATCAACACATTCTCCCAAAGGGTCGAGCTGCTGTCAAGATAATGCTCAGCATGAAAAAGAACCAAGGAACGAAGTACCGCCTGTCATGTTCCGTGACTATGACAAAAGGGCTGGGAATAGTGCCAATGGTGCCATGCCAGCGCTGTCGACATTGGAAGCACCAGAGCACTGATTGGAAGCTGTCGCAAGAGCACAAGTTTGCTCCAGTTGGAAGGGTACCAGTACAATCTAGCCATCATGAGCTGTCTATTCACACCACAAAGACAGGCAAAACCCCACTCATTCATCACAAGAAGCACGTCTTCCTCTCATCATAACAGCCATGCATTCCCCTCACAAAGTCATCCAAGAATCAAACACGGCATGCTATCAGTCTTTCCTCCTCGAAACAACTAAAATGAATCCAGTGTTGGTATGGATAGCGTCGATGCCATCCGGGCCGGACAGACAGAGTGGCTCAAACTGTGCAGTAAAAGTGTGCGGGAAGGAGACTTTGGTGGTGCTTGTGGAAACTATGGCACAGGTGGAATTGAATCCATCAGCTACCTGGTACCAACATCCGCTGCCAATGCTGGCTGGAATAGCACGGGCGACACGTGTGGTGGCTAAAAGAGAAGTCTTTTTGCAGCAGTTCCGTGCGAAAGATATTGTGTTTTGTGATGAGTTGAGAACTGAGAACACAGCTGCAGCACAACAGCAGATTCATTTTGGGAGGCTAAGCTAACTGAACTGCTTATCTTCGGTGCTGGGATCACAGTGTCGACACAACAAGCAAACCAGGAGTGAGCTACAACAATGCAATACACGGCTCTTAGCCTTATTCGCGACTCGATCCTAGATAGGGTTGAGTTCGACTCATGACCGAGTCTCTCGTGAATAGTCATTTGAGACAGGGTTCTCAATGACCGCGCTAGTCAACTATAGGTTGATGATGAAACATCGCTCTAGATATTTAGCCAGCGTGGAGTACTTCCACGCTACTAGATCCAGGCTAGACAAACCTTCCACGCGTTCCGTTTTAGGATCGTGAGAGACGTAGGATTACTACCACAACCTATCTATCACACTATAAGTTCCCGCGGGAAACCAGATCTACGATCCTTTGATGATGATCTCCTCGTTGATTAGTTTTCATAGCTTTCTAATCTCTCTCATAACTTTCATTCTCTCAAACTCAAAACACTCGAAAGATCTTTACACTAGCTTTTAGCGTAGTGCATTTTGTTAACAAACACAATAGCTTTCAGCTACCCTTAACCTATTCCTTCACCATGGAGATGGCTCAAGGAAAGCATGCGTTCCGCAACTTCGAGAACAGTTGCGTGAAAACCCATTCTTCCTCTCGTCGACAATGACGAAGAACACGAGTCGACGAACTCGTGCCAACACTTGCAGACTTCGCAAACATGTTGCCAAGGCAAATCAGAAACTCTGACAATGAGGACAACTCCTCTATCAATTTAATCACTTGGATGGAGAAATCTCTATCTGAGGATTAGGCCAGGATGATGATCAACAACCTGTTCCGATTTCATCAAACCAAAGTGATGAAGATATCCCCTAACTAGTAAACAAGAATTGTTTGCAACTGATAACTCTACGGCAAATTAGATGATTGCCGTAAGCTGCTCAACTAGACTCTGATGACTATTTAGCATCGTTAACCTCGTCCTGTCCAACCACCTCGTAAACGTCGCAAGACAAGAGACCTCAAACCCATCGTTTATGTTAGATTTAACAAGCGAGAAAAGGGAAACCAAAACCCGTTACATCCGTTGCTTCTGGATACAGGAGCATCCGGAACCTTATTGCTCAACCTCATGCTAAGAAATTACGCATGAAGGATCTTGGGGGCGTCCAAACGATGTGGACTACCCCTGCAGGAGAATTAACACCAGCACGAAGTGCAAGGTGCATTCATGATTCCTGATTCCACGAAGATAGAATTATCGAGTGGACTTACACGTCACCAAGAATTGGGGGCGTATGACATGATCATAGGTCGAGATATTCTCTCTGACTTAGGTTTCAAGTTCGATTCACTACCATGTCAGTGGAATGGACGGCGCATCTATTCCTATGAAAGATAGCGACACCAATGAAAAAGAAAACTTTTTCATTCCTGATCCTTCCGCTGTCGATGACAGTGCAAGATCGTCTCAAGAAGATTTGATGCGAAATACGAACAACCTGACTTAAGGCAGGTTTGCAAGTCAAGATCAGTTAAAACACGGAAGAGAAGGAACAGCTTCACTCCTTACTGACGAAGTACTCTGACCTATTCGATGGTACTTTAGGAAAGTGGCAGATGGACGACTACGAAGTAGAACTTTCTCCCTGATGCTAAACCCTATCATGCAAGGGCTTACCCTATTCCACGGGTCCACACCAACACTCTTAAGATGGAGGTCGAACGTCTCTGCGAAGCAGGAGTACTCAAGAAGGTAAACCGTTCCGAGTGGGCGGCACCAACTTTCATCATTCCCAAGAAAGACGGATCTGACGATTCATCTCTGATTTCCGGGAACTGAAAAAAAGATTAAGCGAAAGCTTATCCTATCCCAAAAATACAGGACATGCTCTTGAATCAGATGGATTCAAGTACGCTATAGTCTAGACCTGAAACATGGGATACTATCACATCGACCTTCACCTCACTCGAAGCACTCTGTACCATCGTACTCCCGTGGGAAAGTATGAGTACCAGAGGTTGCCAATGGGCCTATGTAATAGTCCCGACATCTTCCAAGAGAAGATGGGAACACTAATGCACGACCTAGAATACGTCCGTGCATACATTGATGATCTATTCATCCTAACTAACGGCGATCTAGCAGATCACGTTGAAAAGTTGGGATGAAGTTCTCCAGCGCTTCGAGAAGCCGGACTTAAAATCAATGCTACCAATCCTTCTTCGCAAGAGGAGAACTTGAGTACCTAGGTTACTGGATTACTCGAGAAGGAATCCAAACCTATAACCAAGAAAATAGACGCGATCAAGAATATCGCTCCTCCTACCAACAGAAGGAACTCCGTAGATTCATTGGACTAGTGAACTACTATCGAGACATGTGGATTAGACGATCAACATGTACTGGCTCCACTCGCTTCGTTGACTTCAAAACAACGAAGTGGAAATGGGAAGCGGAACACGACAAGGCCTTTAGCCAGATGAAGAAGATCATCAGCAAAGAAACCTTGCTCGACTACCCTGACTTCAATGACACATTCGTTATCCACACGGATGCGAGTGACACTCAACTAGGTGCAGTAATTTCCCAGAAGGGAAAACCTATCGCGTTCTACAGTAGGAAGCTCAACCCTGCTCAGACACGTTACACAGTTATACCGAGAAGGAACTTCTCAGTATCGTAGAACTCTAAAGAGTTCCGTATATTCTTCTAGGACAGAAGATCGTCGTACATACGGACCACAAGAATCTTACATGTAAGAACTTCATACCGATCGCGTAATGCGATGGCGCCTTATTCTGGAAGAATACGGCCCTGAACTACGGTACATCAAGGGCGAACAGAACATCGTCGCTGATGCGTTGTCGAGACTTAACATCTCCAACAACGACGGTTCTTCGAACAGATGGACGCCAGCGAGATCGCTGAGCTCATGGCTGCAGACGAAGAGGACTTCCCTAGAGTTCCCTCTCTCGTTCCCTGAGATCGAACATCGTCAGAAAGACGACAACGATATCAAGAAGCTCCTCAGAGACAAGCCAAACGACTACAAGAAGCAATCTTTCCCCAGAGGGGATAAGTCCTACGACTTAGTAGTTAAGGACGAGAAAATCGTCGTACCTAAAACTATGCAGAAGAAGCTGTTGAATGGTACCATGGGTGCTGATGCATCCTGGCGAGACTCGCACGGAACAACCATCAGCCAACACTACACCTGGAAGGGTCTGCGCAGGACTGTGCAGACCGTATGTCAGCGTTGCCAAAGCTGCCAGATGAACAAACCAAGACGCGTAAGCTGGGATTGATGCCTCCAAAGACTTGCGAGGAGATCCCTTGGGAAAGACTATGTATTGACCTGATAGGCCCTTACAACGTCGGGGATCCCAAGAAAAAGAATTCCTGCACACTTCATTGCTTGACAATGATTGATCCCGTAACCGGATGGTTCGAGATTGCAGAGATCTGCTCCAAGGCAGCAGACGAAGTAGCCATCGTCCTAGAACAAACGTGGCTTACTCGGTATCCATGGCCTGCTGAGGTTATCATGGATAGAGGACGCGAGTTCCGCGCAGAGGTCGAAAAGACACTCCGGGATGAATATGGACTTCGTCGCAAGTTCATCACCACGCGTAACCCTCAAGCCAACTCTATGGTCGAGCGTGCTATCAAACCATACGAATTGATCGCTGTTCAAAACATCAAGTGCCAAGACGACCTCGTGAATGGATCCTGGGATGGAGTCCTCACGGCGGTTCGTTTGCAATGAATGCCACGATTCATACCACCTTGCGTGCAACGCCCGCACAGCTCGTGTTCAATCGTGACGCGATTCACAACGTCCGGTTCGAAGCCAACTGGAAGTACATTAAGGAACGTCGCCAACGACTAATCCAACAAAACACGATAGGGAAAACGAACGCGTGTCCCTCATCATACAACGTCAACGATACTGTGATGATTCAACAGTATCAGCACCGCAAGTACGGTCAGCCAAAGTACAAAAGGTCCTTACACTATAGACCGAGTCAAGACAATGGCACTGTACGGCTCACATGCTACCGCCAACGGCGGCACAGTCTACCAGATTGGAACATAAGGTATATAACCCATACAAGGCCTGATCCCTTGTAGGATTGCCATCGTGCGACGCACATGTCTACATCCAAATCTCATGAGAGTGCCCGCATTTAAATCATATGTTCTCCTTGTCCGACTGCTGTCGCGCCTTCTGTGACCCTTGTCAGGGGGCGAATGCAATACACGGCTCTTAGCCTTATTCGCGACTCGATCCTAGATAGGGTTTGAGTTCGACTCATGACCGAGTCTCTCGTGAATAGTCATTTGAGACAGGGTTCTCAATGACCGCGCTAGTCACACCTAGGTTGATGATGAAACATCGCTCTAGATATTTAGCCAGCGTGGAGTACTTCCATGCTACTAGATCCAGGCTAGACAAACCTTCCACGCGTTCCGTTTTAGGATCGTGGAGAGACGTAGGATTACTACCACAACCTACTCTATCACACTTTATAGTCTCCCGCGGGAAGCCAGTCCTCGTGGTTTCCGGGTTTGTGTGTTTTTTTTTACGGATCCTTTGATTGATGATCTCTCTCGTTGATTAGTTTTCATAGCTTTCTAATCTCTCTCATAACTTTCATTCTCTCAAACTCAAAACACTCGAAAGATCTTTACACTAGCTTTTAGCGTAGTGCAACAAGAACAACTGCCGCTAGCTAGTGCACCAAGAGCAACAACCAAATGGTGGCTACTGACTGACAAATACCATTGCCAACAAATATCGATGCATCACCTAATTAGAAATTGGGCACAGCATTACGATACGATCTATTGCAAGATCTGTCACCAAAATAGCATAGGCCAAAAGTATGTGGAGGCCGAAGGAAAATACTCTATGAATGGTGCAATTCAAGACTGCTACAAGCAACTATTGACGAGTGACCACCTGCTAGACAGGCAACCAACAACAGCCAGCAGCAACAACAACCAAATCTCAGTTACGGTATCGCTGAAGGAAGTCCACTCTCTTTGTGTGCGAATTTGTGTGTTGCCTCCTGTTGACTATTGCCTTATTTTTAAACAAAACTCGAAAAGGATAAGTTCTCTATTCAGGCAGGCTGGTGATAAGGCTGGTCAATCCACGAAGCAGCAGCCTCTCTTGTTATCCGGAGCGATCGATCGGCTCAAGTATGGTATTTCCGCGGCCGTCAGCAGAAAGAGAATAGAAAGTAAGAAATAGATATGAATTTCTCTTCTATTCTGATACTGGTACTGAAGAAAACTGGAGACTGACCCTCGTTCTTCAAATTCCACCAACTTGACTGTCAGCGGCCGAGAATTGGCTGCCATCCCATGGTCCATAGGATGCAACAAGGGATGGTTTTCCAATCTGCACTGGAGACACTCGACTTGAGTGAGGCTTGAAAGAGAGATAATACTGTAGAGGTGCGTGCGATCGATCGAATCGTCACTCATTCAGCCTGCCAATCCACCGTCGCCGGTCTAGTTCGTTCTAGTAGAGAGGGATCCAACGGTTCGTTCAAGAGGAATGGATTCAAGGCATCGCTGCTGTGTGGTATGCCATTCGCATTATCTCTCCACGGTCACTCAAAACACAATCTGATCAGCCATCCATGGACAATGAGGATGGAGGGATCAATAAACAAATGGAATAATACCATCATGACAGTCATGTGTCATGTGCATTTCCTTTTCCGTTTGTTTTGATGGGGACAGACGTGTGTGGGCTGTGGACGGGTTGAGATTTCTGTCTTGTGACTCTCAGTCAAGAAAGCATCTGTCTCTTCAATGGTGCTTTATGTTTGTGGGGGAGCATGGTGGGTGCCAATTTTCTGAACACAAAACTATGAATTGGACCCCCTTTTGAATGCTGAATGGAATCCCCCTTTCGGAGCGTCGCTCCTTGGGTGAAAAATCCAATACCAGGCGTGGATCACCCCATCTCATTTTCTTCCCATAGCTTTTTCAAGGATGTTTGGGGCTTATTTGTCATGGCTACCCAAATCTCTGTAAGGATTGATAGGAGCTTGCTTTAACATGGCTGTGCCAACCAGCCCAAAAGCCACCGGATAAAGATCATTAAAAAATGTCTTGGTGCTGTTTCTCAGAGAGTGCGGTGCTGCCAAATTTTGGATCAACTAGCCCCTTACAAACCCCTTCATTAAGTCGTGAGGAAACCTCACGGACTACCGGTACCGGTAGTACTGTAGGATCAACCGCAGAAACAGTCGTACTGTACGACAGACGCAAAAACACCCAAAGGCCAAAATCGTTGGCGAAAGCGGCAGCAAGCAAACATCAACGCCAACATACTAGTACACAACAAGCGTCCAGCGCTATTATTCCAACCAGTGAATCTCTCTGTTTTCCAAGTTTAAGTCAAGATCAATCGCCGTTACCATATGCATGTCAAGCTTTGACAGAAACAATGGTGCCACGCCGCAGAACGGCAACCGAAAAAAACGTGGGAACGGAGGTCGAGGTCGGGGGCGACAGAGTGGACAAAATGGGGATGACGGTACCGAGAATGGCTTAAAGAGCGGGGTTTTGCGACAAATGCTGCACAATTCAGCGCGTTATCCGTGGCTGAAAAGCTCACTAGTGAGGCTTACGACAAATCAAAGGCCTCCACAGCAGGAATACCCGATCATTTTGCTCCTATACTCCTCGACTTGGCTATGAGAAACATGGAGATGGGTTGGGGAAAAATCAGTCAGAGCCGCACGTCGCATGAGTCGAGAACAGTCAGGGATAGTGCCGTGCGATTTTATGGTTTGGATGGGAAGAACCATTGTCAAGTTCTTGGGGGGAATGGAACCGAGCACGTCACGAACGCTCATATTTGGCCGCACAACAACAGAATGAACTTGACTTTAGTTGACTTGCAAGAGACTGATATTGACGACCCAAGAAACCTACTCCGTCTCCATGGCGATATTGAAAACAATTTTGACAGGTTTTTCCTCACCTTTGTTCCATCCGGCAATGATTTCATTCTAAAAGTTTTGGATCCAACCATACGTAAGCTGCAAATTTGAGATGTTACGCCACCTACCACCTTTGAAGAGATTGATGGAAGTTCCCTCTTCTTTTCAGGAGGGCGGCCATGGGGACGTCTTCTTGCCGCTCACTCCATTCTGTCTCATCGGAAAGCTCGAAAGGACGGCAATCTGCCAGAAGATCAGCTATCCGCCGCAGAAGTTTCTGCAAAGGAGTTGATGGAGTTTTCTCTGGACGAGCCTGCTCAATTTCGTCTCAAAATGATCCTCGATAATCCTACCACCTAGCTAGCCAGAACTACAATACAATCATCACTATTTCATGCTCAGTCGCCGATGGGCTATGGATATGTGGGACTCACATGAGACCGACGTTAAATCTTTAACATTTGGGGGGAGTTTGCAATCAACGACTACAGTCGTACTGTACCTATACTTTTATAACAGCGAAGCTTTGACTGTTAGATAAATGGATGTCTGCTACAGCCACTCAGCTATGGATTTGCTTTCTCGCTAGCTGGATCTAGATCTGAAAGGTTGAGTGTTCCTTGCTTTCTTGTGCGGTGCTTTGTAGGATCCGGCTTTTGCGACCATTCCAGTACGGTTTGCAGGGAAGCCAGGAACACGGGGAACTGCTAGTACTAGTAGACTGGATTGTTCTGTAACTTGTGATCTCAAGGCATGCAAGTTGGACTGCTGTGTAGAGGCTACGGTAGGTACGTACCTGGGGAACAAGAGCTCCTCGGTTTGGTCAGGAACATTTCAGTCTAATGCATCCATAAGATATATCACTGCTAATAAAATAAGTTCGCATACTCCAGTAGAGTTGGGAAAGTTCCCTCTATAGGGGGTTATCAACAAGGAGGCGACAAACAATTGAAATTTGTCGAAGTGGTCAAAGTGGCATTTTGGATGTGTTCAGGGCTCGTGATCAGGAGGCCGGGCCAGTCATCCTCTTGTGTCGTAGTAGGTGCCGTGGTTGAAAAAATGTTGTTGACATTGCCACTCGTGGTTTTAGATACCTCCACTACTTGTTGCCTGGCTACAACGAATTGGTGTATATGTAGAACCAATGCAAGGATAATAATAATCACAAAACAGAAACAAAGTATGCCACACTTGAGTCGTCTTGAAGGAGACGAGCAAGCAGCAGGTGGACTATTGCATTTGACTCCAACAAGGTCAGTTTTCTTCTTGCCCATGGAATCATCTGCCCCATCAGAAGCAGGCAATGCTGTTTCAATGTCAACAACATTGGACTTGTAAATGACGGAATTAGATTCTGTGGTTTGCATGATACTTTAGTTGTTGCTGTTCGAGAAATCTCGTGTGGTTATTAGTGTGTGGTTTGTTTGTTCGTTCGTTTGTTCAAATGTGGAAACTCGGGTTCAGAGTGTCTTGTGATGTTATTAGCTTCTATGGTTCTTCTAGCTACTTTCGCTTTGGTTTTATGATCTCTCCCTCTCGCCCACTCTCTCCAAAGAGGAGACGAGAGCGCCTGAGGAGGCGTGTTGCCACCACTGTAGCTTATAGCTCGGAGTACCTACAGATTTTACTTCCGCAGCTGGGCTTTGATCGGAGAGGACCTCAAGTGCGACTGATCTGCTTACATACATGTCCTTTCTTCTGAACGGGACTGAGTTGCTCGACTCGAGCCGGCATGCAGCTCGAGCTCCCTTTGGTGCACCCCCTACCGGTACCTGTAGCCAGCCATCGGCTAAGTGGATTTCTTTGCCGGAAGGGATGTCTGCCGTGCAACTAGACTACATGTACCTTGGCTGCGTGCCGTTTCTTTGCTGGCTATGGTACAGGTTGTTGTTCCGCAAAAAGCGCTTTGTTGCCTACTTGCTAGCTAGACTAGCTAGCTAGAGTTCCTTGCTTTCTTGTGCGGTCCTTTGTAGGATCCGGCTTGCTTTTGCGACCATTCCCGTACTGTTTGCAGGGAAGCCAGTAACACGGGGCACTGCTAGACTGGCTTGGCTTGTTCCCTAATATAGGAGGAATTTGCTTTGAAACAACATGAGGAGTGGCCAACAGCTGAAACCCAGTAGGGGTCTCTCTAGCTACCGTAGCTAGCTGGCCGAACTAAAGGTTTCCGTTTAAGTAATGATAGAAATGTGATGAAATGAATGAGCTCATTGGTCTATATATATGATATGGTTCATTGGTCTATTATGTAATGAATTAGTAGTAGAAGTTTATGTACAGGAGGGAGGAATGTAGCTGTCTGTCTATTGTGCTGGCACGGCGGTTCCAAGGAGAACCATACTAGCACCGGTAGGCTCACTGGGAAGTTCACTGGGAAGTTCGAGTTGGTGTTGCAATGCCTGGAACCACCGTGTAATGGCGGGAGTGGTAGTGCTGCGCTGCTGTTGTTGTGCTTGAGGTTGTGTCTTTGCGGTTGGTTTTTCCACAATACTGCAATCGATTTTTTCTTCACCCAGCACGACTCCTGTTTCGTGTCGCGTCTTGACTTTGAGTGTGACGGTGTGAGTGGAATTGGCAATCATTTGTACCGCTTCTTGAACGGCATATTGTTGGACACTGACGCCGTTAATGGCCAGCAACAAATCAGTGGGATTCAACAAGGAATGCATGGCACCCAAGTGTGGATTGATGGTTCCAATTTCCAGTGCTCCAAAGAATTCACTGGACTTGCGAACACCAATGCCAATCTTGGTGTTGGCATCGAGTTTGGTGAGCATACTCTCGACGACATCCGGGGCACCGCCCTTGTTTCGTACGACAATGGTAATCATCCCGGGTGCTTGTAGAGCGTTTTGGAGTTGGTTGTGGGTCATTCGGAAGCAGGAATAGTGATTAATACTCATCAAGCGATCTCCCACTTGCAGGGGAGACCGTGCCGCGGGACTGCCGGGAGTAATCCGCGCAATCGTGGGATGTTTCTTGTTCATGTGGATTTTCAACCCGAGCGACCAACAATCGCCACGGCTGCGGATAAAGCTGGCCGACACGTATTCGGCACGGACTTTGGAATAATGATTCTTGCGGGTTTCCTGATTAATGGTTGGCAATGACTCTTCCAAGGCACAGGAGGAAGTGTCGGTGGATTGTGATTCTTCTTGTTGTGCTTGCACCTCCTCGGCGGTCATCAAGGGTTCGCCGTTGGTGATAATGGCGTCAAAGAAATCGTCGTAGTCAGGATCGGAATAGTCTTCGGCTGTTACTGTGGGAATTCCATCTACCATTTCTTGGCCGAAATATTCGTCCAGTCGAATTGTTGGGAGGTAAGTATTGTCATTGTCATTCTCTCCTGCTACTAGAGGAACACACTCGGCGTGTACCATGGTCGTTGTTGGGTCCGAAGAGGTCATACTACTGTCTGTGTTGTTGGGTGGTTTTTAATAATTCAATGAGAGAGAGAGAAGGCTATCAATCAAGCGTTGGGTTTGCTTGGTATGTTACGGAAGAACCTCTCTGTCAATGCCATGCAAGAACACGTTGGTGGTGAGAAGCCTTGGGATTGTCCCGGTTTGAGAAGCCAGTGAGTCGTACAGCCAACGGCAAGCAGGAAACAAAATGGAGGGAAAAAGAAAAAGTGAGCTAAGCAGTTTTGCACCAACAGTGGTTTCGCGTTGCGTCGCTGTTGGTTACTAAGACTCGTCACTGGCTCTATAAGAGTCATAAAGAAGGCACAATGCCAGGAAGAACAAACAATGCCGAATATAAATGCCCCAAAAAGGGCCTTTGTAAAACGTAAGCCATCAAAGATATTAAACCATTTTACAGGCCAGAACGTACGATATGATTTTGAATCTTCCTGGACTCAAGGCGCGACTGGCCGCCAGACCTGCGTCGCTTTCACGCAACCACACTGCTCACTAGTACTGTAAGTCAAGTCAAATCAAACCCACCCACCAATCATCCAACGAAAGGAAACACGGCAATGGACTGGTACCGCACCCAGACATGCAAGGGACCAAAGGTGGCGAGCTTGGAGGATCCCGGCCCCATGGCCGCTTACTGCTATATGGGAGGGGGGCTCCTTCCATACCCTCGTACCCGCCGTTTGATTACGACAGCCATAGTAGTTCACACGGAAACTGCACCAACATTGCATTGGTGTCGGAATCATCACACAACAGCAGGTGACCACAAACCACTGCCAGAAATAGTTTTTTCCCTGTCGGCTCAAACAGTATTGAAAGGCGTCTTGGAAGATAATTATAATGAGAGCCCCCTGGCCATGTTGAGGGGACATGAAGACACCTTGTTGCCAATCATTGCCAGCTACTGTGGTCTGGCCATGATTGAACCTTGCTTCTGTTGTAGCAATGAACCTATCCGCATGTGTGCACAACAGGGAAGGTCATTTCGGACTGTGGCTGTCATGCCAACACCAACATCACCAAAAAGCACAAACGAGCCTAACCCGAAAACAGAGATTGTCTCTGCACCACTGCCGGTTCCATCCAGCCTCTTTTCCCTTCTCGACCAGGAAAATTTTCTTTTTCAAGCCGAATCAGTGGTGTCATCAGTTAGAACCATACATAGAGACTCGGGATGTGACAGGGGGGCACGGTGCAGCTTTGGGGACATCCCAAGGTTTCTTCTCCTCCCTGTGGGAGTTTGAATGGGAAGCCCTGGCTTCTATGGACATCAGTCTCTGCAAGACCAGGATGCACCCAAGTTACCACCAACCCAGGCACAAGTATGTCCTGACACTCAGTTCAGTTGAAGGGGGGCATCGATACATGGGTTCCAGAAAGGGCTGGGTTGTGATCTCGTCGGGCGATGATGGCGAGGAGCGAATATGGGGCTGGGCTCCTGTCTGGCAGGAACAAAGGCAGCCTCGGTGCGGCACCAAGGCAACATTTTTCTTCCGTTCTGCTTCAACAGTGAAGTCGCTGATCGAGATCCTTGCAGCAAAGCGAGGTGAGGCAGAAAGGCGGGCCGTCAGGCTGGGACGTGTCGAGGTGGAGCTATGAAGCCAAACTGGGCAGGATTCGACGGAAAACTTAGGAGTATCACTCGCTCTGATCTCAACCCGATGCTCACGACGCTCAACTGCTCGCGACGCTTGGCCAGTAGGCGACATAATCTTTAATTCGGCCTCCTACATCTCTTTGCTCGTGTCATCGAGTCAAAACAACGGTACAGAAGAGAGCAAAAGGGCACGCCGTGTAGTTTGGCTAGCTAGGAACGAGGCCAACAGCTGGGCCGAAACAGCGATAGAGTGGGCGCCGAGGGGTTTTCGAAAAACTGAAAAGAACAGGAACCGAGCTGATCTACATGTAATATCTATTATATGAACCAAGTACGGATTAGATCGTGTCTCTCAAACGACCTCTGGGATGCTCTTCGTTTCGCATACCGCGGTAAGGGGCGTCATTTCAGCCATGGTTTCTCCCTTGGTTGGCTCCGCCGATGCCACCTCAGGGATTGCTTCAGCCGTGGCCAGGGGCATCCCCGCATCTCCCCCGCCACCCAAAAAGGAAGCAACGTCGGCTGTCACTTTTCGGATATCTGGCTGCTCTGCCATGTACGAGATGACGTCTGTGGTGGACCCAGTCGCTGTGATCTCGCTGAGCACAAAAGATTTGCCGCTCTTCACTAGTTTGAAGAGTCTCTTGTCAGGGGCCAAAAAGGGCTCGTTCGGGCCGTCGTTTCGGGGGTGGGCCAAGATTTTGTAGAGAGCGACGGTGTCATCACTGATCTTCTCGGGCTCGAAAAATTGCTTGGCTTCCAACCGATACTCTGAGGTGGCTTGGTTCATCATGACCCTGGGAAACGCTGAAACGCCCTTGGGACGGCCACTGGCAATCCATTTCGCACGGCAGTGATTCTGCCATTGAAAGACAATTTGGCTTTCCAGTTTGTCGGCTTCTTGGGTCCTTCCCAACCCGTTCAGGGCCACATTGAGATGGCACATCATATTGATATTCATTGGGTCTTTCTTGAGCATGGCTCGTGCCTGGGTTTCTGCCGCTGTAAATTGATTGCGACGCAAAAGGTCGGTGAGTGTGCTCTCTCCTGCCTTGGCATTTGCCATGGCCTGAAGCACATTTCGAGCCGCAACATCGAGGGCTGCTTTTTGGAAGCTCTGATACTCAGAGAGGTCAAACAGGGCATGACATTGACGGCACTGAACGATCTGCCGGGGTTCTCCTTGTGGAAAGAGGGGGATCCAGTACGCATGGCAGTAGCGTGTAATGTTGAACAGCTGGCACCTTCCGTCGCAACCCCTCATCGGACAACGAGGGTTGGATCCCAGGATGGCGGCGCTATCGGGCCTCAAGGATTTTCGGGTGGTGCGTCCCCAGATGATAATCATCGTGGTGAAATCAATCGAAGAAAGGGTGGGGTAAGCTGAGAGATTAGCGGTCTATGAAAGCAAGTAAGTAAGCAACACGACGAAGAAAGATACATCAGTAAAGGCCGGACTGAAACAGAATCTTTTGCAGGTCCCGTTGACTGCAGAAAAATGAGGCCTTGCGCTATTCTTGGACCGTTAGATTTGTAGAGCAATCGGTTCGATTACAGCGTACGACTGTACAACTGTGCAGTACACAGGGTAGTCTACCGCTACGTATGCTTTTACCGTACTAATAGAGGGAAGGAGAGATAAAGTGTGCATCTAGCTTTCTTCTGGTAATAAACTGTTAGAGAATGAATGTTGAGGACAGATGCAAGGACCTTTTCTTGGTGATTCTGCCGATGAATCTCAGACGTGTTTTTTGAGGAGATCCACCTGCGTGCCGGCGGTTGAGATTAAAGCCAGCAGGGCTGGTGAGGGATACTGGCCGCACTCTGGTTCCGGCATCTCTGATTTTAAATCTCCTCTGGAGCAGCTATGCATACGAGTACCGTAGCTCGATAGCCAGATAGCCGTGCATGATACCGAATACGTGATACCATACTGTACTGCAGATGTAGAAACTTGAAAGAGAAGACCATGCCATGGGAAGTGTTCAACGATCCGTAATAACATGCAATTTTACCGAAACCTTGTTGCGCCCGGCACGAGTGCCACCACTTAAAAGACTTCCAATCCCGTCCTCTTCGTTGGGACATGTAACCCAGCTTGATGGTTGTCAACCACCAAACCCAACGTCGTATTGACCCAGCGACAGCGGCCAATGCGGAAGTCATTGCCACTTCGCTAGCTAGATTGCCACACCATGGATCGTATCATTGAATTTTGAATTTCGAATGATTCGATTCAGTCGAGTCGCGATCGAGAACCCGGAGAAAACAAAACACTTCCCCAGCTGTTCCTTTCGGAGAACTCGAACCAAAAGCCTGTTCTCTCTGTACCCTGGTTCTCATTCTTGTAAATAAAATGTGCACAATCAGTTTACCGCGATGATTCGATTCTCCAGTCTTCCACATGCGGTATATCGTACGACTGTACCTGGTTTCTCCGGTATGCTACAATGCTACAATACTAGCGGTCTACTAGCTACCAGGTACTGTAGCTATTAAAATAGTGGCTACTGTAGCTAGTACCGGTTTCAGTATTCTGACACAAATCAGTTTACAGCGATGGTGCGATGGTTCATTCCATAAATTATGGCCAATGCGGCAGGGTTTCTCCGTTCCGGACAGTACCGGTACGTATCATACCAGTGGAGCCTCCACCGGTTATTTGCTGGAAAATCTTGTAGGGTTCCCACCGCTTGACACAGTCGCGAATGGAGATCTTCGAAACCACCCCAGGCCCCAGGCAATCAATCTGCAAAATTTTCATTGTTGCCCACAAATGTTTAATCTTCAAGAACACAAACTAAAACAAAGCGGAAACGAAATTTCAACTTCCTATTCATCTATCCTTGTCCACCATGATGACCTGGGAATATCCGTCCACACCCTGTGACTCCGAAACTCTTCCCTCTGGAACACAGGCTCCGAAACCTGTCGAACCAGCAACCTCCAGCCACATGAACTCCAGTCTAGAGTCGATACTGCTGGCTGTGCAGTCTGCTCCTCAGTTGCCCGATGTTGATGTTTTCAAGGATGTCAACTTTGCCCCTACCAGCCTAACGTCTATCCTTCGATTGCACCCAGACGGCGTTCCCACGATTCTTGCTGCTCAGATGAAAGACTCGGAAGAAGAGCGACGAGAAATCTGCGTGACCCCTGCAGACACCCTCACTAGCTCCCTCACCGATGGAGCACGGGTACCTCGATTTGTTTTGAAGCCCAAAGCCCGGCGGCCGTCGGAAGCTCCTTTCATCGTCGGAGGTTCTTTTCTTCCGACATTCTTCCCTGAGAAGATCATGTGCCCTGATATTGCCTCTGATAACGAAGAAGACGATGGGTACGATCAGCGAGGAAGGGATAGAGGGGTAGCAAGAGCAACTGCGAAACTGCGAAAAAGACCAGTGTTAGCTTTCAAACCTTCCCGAAAATTTTCAATGGCGTCACAAGAGCTGCTCGCTAGCTTCTGAGACCTGAGATGACCACATACGAATGGATGAAGCAAGCATTCCTTCCACCTGCCTAAAGACAACTGACTCTCTAATCTAAGAGTCCACTTGCGTGTTTGGGGTTTGGTATGCTTTCTATTACTTGTCACCGCTGACTTTTCCAGCGGGCAGGTTGGCTGGAGCTAAATGAAACAAAGCAGTGATGGAACAGAGGGGCGGCAAAGAGGGCCAGGTTCTCATCATCAAGGTACTAATCTGACTTACTAGTAGATGTATACTCTAATCAAAGTTTGCATTACTTTTGTTGACTGCCTTGCATTACTTCCTTCCCGCTCCATGCTGGGTGCTTGTGCCGGTACCGGAACCGCCCAAGCTGAATGCGCTTCAAATAGTCTTATTTTTAAAAATAGAGGGAACACAATACAAACTCCTCTACGCCGATTGAGCGGTAGCATGGGGCACGTGATGGCGATGCAGCATTCTTTGTTGTCACTGGTATTCATCTACATGTACCTGTGATGCTGTCTTGGGTCTTGGGCCTCTTGCCAGCTTCGCTTCCATGCTCCAATCATCATCCTGGCTGACTGGCTGGAGCTGCTGTGACAACAAGACCAATGCGTGGGCTGGTACCGGTTTGCACTGGACTTTGCAACCAGCACTCTGGCCTGTAGGCTTGTCTCTGATGTCTGAGGACAGGCTACTCTAGCTAGCTACTAGCTAGGGTAGGCTGTGATCAGCTGAGGCTTGCTTGTCATGGACAGTGCTAGATGGAAGAGACTTCCTCGGCTGTGACTACCGAACTATCCATTCACGGGGTATCTTCAACACTGCCGACTGACTTTTGTCCGTTGCCAGCTTTATTCTTTGGTTTCTCCCAAAAAAGTCTTAAAGACAGACATTTATGCGTAAGGGGAAAAGACCTATTAAGCCCATACTAGTGTTGACCCTGCTCTAAATTTAAGAGAGTGTCTTTCGATGTCTAAATTTGTCTTTTATGTAAATTTACCATCTAGCTGGCAATCAAAACTGAATTTGAGAGTCTGAGAAAGTGTTTTCAACCAGTACCAGAAATGTACACTGTACTAGAGTACTTGCGTGGCTGCCAGCCACAGCAATAGCATGGGAACAGTGGCAGCTTGCCACTTGCCACGCGGTCTCGCAGTGTTCCGGTAGCATTGATCATCAAATTTTGTGGTCAGCAGCAATCCAAAAGCCAGCCTCCTCGTTTTCAAGCTTGACTATCAGCGGCCAAGAACTGACCGCCTTTGCATGGTCCAGGAGGAAGGCTTGAAGACGGTCGTCTTGATTGAGGCTTGATTGTAGAGGTGCATCAATCTTCTGGATCGAGCGATTGCCATTGTTGTTTTTCCGCATATTATCAAAGCCAGGCATTTTACCAACCATCGGCCTTCAAAGCAACAATGCAACCTATCCCAGCTCCATTCGGTGACAACATTGATGATGGATATCCAAATTTCAGACGAGCCGTCGCGACCTGATCTCGATGCCCTTGAGAGAATGTATATGGGCTTCAGTAATGTTCAATCATCGATTCAGATGGAGACTGACCAGGACCTATCAATTATGAGGATGCAACCAAGAAACAGAAAACCAATCCCTCCTTGTGAACAGGAAAGCACGTTTACGAAGTCCTACTATCAGCAGCTCTATCAGCACACTTTGGCCTACCAAAAAAGTTTGGAAGACTTGGAAGCGATCACCTACCGTCACCCTCCAACTGACACCGCCATTCCGGACCACTTGTTTGAAGAAATAAAGGAATGCCTCTCACAAAAGCCCACATTGAATATTGTTCGTCTTCGAAGGGTATTGAACGTTCCCGTCCAAAACAAGGACTATTCCTTGCTTGGACCGGTATACGGTACCGGTACTTTTATAACAATTCAGCACCAAGGTGTACCTGGGAAGGAGTCGAGTCTCCCTGGAAGCCCATCCACCGCCTCAGCCGTCCGCATTCTCTTCTAGAGAGAGAGAGAGAGAGAGAGAGAGTGGATGACATGATGACATCTGCCTCACACAAAGTTTGAGCTGCAGCTTCCTGATGCTTTTGCCCAAGCAGGAACTTCTAAGGTTTCACCATAATAATACTCCAATGCGCTGGCAAGCTTTCTAACCTTTGTTTCCGGAGCAATTGCCTTGTCTTTGCTAGTTTCTTCCATCCCAAAATCTTCCATATCAATTTCATTATCCACACCAGTGTCGTCATGGATGATAGCCAATTTGGGAGGGGGCACATTAGCCTCCTTTCTCATTGTACAATTTTCCATTAGAGCCTTTAAATCGGCAATGCACTTTTTCCCGTGTTTGTAGGGCTGCACCATGATCCTGTTGTAGTCTGAAAAATGCAGTAATCGCCATTTAGTTGCACAATCCGTACCCAACACCACAACACCTTGACCATTCCCAGAGACTTCAGACAGAGAGACCAATTGCAGGAGCAGCTGCCCCGGCTTTAAGCTTGAATTTGCCCGTTTGAGCTCCACGAGCGCACCGTGTAGGAAAGCATTAGATCCTTGGCTGTAGTCTCTGCAAAGTCCATCGATATACGAGGACCAACAGCAAGATCAGAAAATCCATTCGATTTGCGCTTCCCAGCCTGCAGCCGAAGCGACTGACTGCGTGCATCATACAAGGCGTACTCGTGGTCATTCACAGACAAGGGCAAAATCTCTTCCTCTAGGATTTGCTTGCAGCCTGGATGTCCGTCTATCTCCTGTTCATTTCCCCCCCAACGATATGTCCACACCTGCCCTTCTCCAGGATCTGTGTTTGGAGGGAGGACAGTAATTTTCACCTTCAGATCCTCAAGCAACGATGACGTGAAATGTGATGTTGCTTCTGACATGGGCACATCAACACTTGCCAAGTCATCCAATTTTTTCTCGATTCGGGCAAAAGCATCAGTGTGGTCTACGGGGAAGGGGGAAGATGAAGTGTTAGCGAAGGACGATTTGAATAAATTCAACACTAAACAAATGAAAAAATCCAAAATGCTTCTCACGGTGGGGGGAAATGGGAGGTGGGCAATTTCACTAATTGCAACAGCGCTTCTTCCCATTCCGAGGCGATCGAGAACACGACAACTGCTTATTACCTTGCCCTGGCGGATGTGGTGATGGCGCTGGTGCCACCACAATGAATTGGTGCATTTTATGAAAACACAGAGTTGCAGATAAGTGTAAGGACAAAATTCAAATCCAAAACGCTGGTCACCACATTTAATGCTTCTCACCATTTATTTGCTCGCAGCGTCCACTTGTATATGCCTGGTTCTACGAGAATGTCATCTCTGACCATCATGATATCATATCACCATCTGGATGTACCAGTGTGCCATCACCGATCACATCAAGTACTTGTGCCACAGTCTTTTTTTCACACTCTTAAAAGGCTAGTTGCGGTTGCCATCAGCTGTGTCAACAATAATAACCTCGGCAGGTAAACTGCCTGAGTTCTCAACCCCTTCAATGCTATTTCCTATTTCCTATTTTCTATTTCCCATTTCCTATTTTCTATTTCCTAACCTCGACAGGTTAACTGCCTGAGTTCTCAACACCTTTAACCTCGGCAGGTAAACTGCCTGAGTTCTCAACCCCTTTAATGCTATTTCCTATTTCCTATTTTCTATTTCCTATTTCCTATTTCCTATTTCCTATTTCCTATTCCGGTGAAGCCAAAGTATAAGGATAGAGATAGTCATAAGCCAACAAAACTGAACATTGATGGTTCAATACAAGTTAGGGGTAGGAATAAATCATTAATATTTAAGGTTAGTGCAATCAGCACAACATCACAATAAGCCAGCAGAAGTTGTAAAGGTTAGAGTTACAATAAGGGAATGGCAGCTGGTAAATTATAGAGTAGCGGGCGGCAACACACGACGTAGTCGGGTGTTGTCGCCAGGGCTAGCTTAATAAAGAAGGTTGCAATGAGGGAATGGATGATACCGGGCGGCAACACACGACGTAGTCGGGTGTTGTCGCCAGGGCTGGTGCACTGGCTTGAAAGATGGGTGCAATCTCGAACATGATCCTCCTTCTTCTATCTGTCTTTCTGCCGAGGTATCGCAGCTCCCGCTGACTTATTACTATGTCCTATTCCGGTGAAGCCAAAATATAGGGATAGAGATAGTCATAAGCCAACCGAACTGAAAATTAATTGAAGGTTCTACAAATTTAAGGGTAGGAATAAATCATGATTATTCAAGGTTAGTGCACTCAACACAATAAGCCAGTACAAGCTACAAAAGTTACAGTTCCATAAGAGAATGACAGCTGTAAAATTATGGTTAGTGGGCGGCAACACACGACGAAGTCGGGTGTTGTCGCCAGGGCTAGCTAGAATAAAAAAGAAGGTTGCAATGAGGGAATGATACGACTGTACTGGGCGGCAACACACGACGAAGTCGGGTGTTGTCGTCAGGGCTAGCTTGAAAGAAGACTGCAATCTCAAACATGTCATCCTTCTTCTATCTGCTTTCTGCCAAGGTATCGCAGCTTCCGCTGACTTATTTCCTATTTCCTATTCCGGTGAAGCCAAAGTATAAGGATAGAGATAGTCATAAGCCAACAAAACTGAACATTGATGGTTCAATACAAGTTAGGGGTAGGAATAAATCATTAATATTTAAGGTTAGTGCAATCAGCACAGCAGCACAATAAGCCAGAAGGAGTTGTAAAGGTTAGAGTTACAATAAGGGAATGGCAGCTGGTAAATTATAGAGTAGCGGGCGGCAACACACGACGTAGTCGGGTGTTGTTGCCAGGGCTAGCTTAATAAAGAAGGTTGCAATGAGGGAATGAATGATACCGGGCGGCAACACACGACGTAGTCGGGTGTTGTCGCCAGGGCTGGCTTGAAAGATGGGTGCAATCTCGAACATGATCCTCCTTCTTCTATCTGTCTTTCTGCCGAGGTATCGCAGCTCCCGCTGACTTAATTGTAAAATCTGCCATGATGTTCGACGCTTTGCTGTTGTTGTTTGTGATTGGTTGTTATGGGGTCTGTTGCTTGTACCGGTACTGTACTACGTGTAATACCTCCTGTAAATGAAGCGTGTCGTCCGGCTGGATCGTAGTGACCATTGAAATGGAGCTCTCTGATTGGCTGAGAGTTGACAACAAAGACGCCCAGACACGCCCAAAGATTTAGGAGCATGGTCTTACTCAACTGCTCGGAGGTCTTCTATTTAACGTTCCCATATTATTATGGCTCCTGCGCTCCTGCGACGGAAAGGGTGCCATCGTGGGGTCGTGTACAGCTCGTAGAGCAGTTGGGTCACGAAGACCCACAGGGGTGCAGATTTTTCGTAGAGATCCATCTTTTATAGTAACTCGCAGTGATACTGTAGACTATGGTATCTGTTCTACATACACAAAAGCTCTACCATTGCTACACAAGCAGATTCCATTTTCACGAATTTCACTATTTTATCTTAACGATGAGAGTTTTAAGAAAACGACACAGGAGCCCAAAACAGAGCCCCGAAATGGCCCAAACCTAGAAGTTGCCAACGACGAGCTGTGGATTGATGGGAAAACCAACGGCGGGGATCTCAATGCTGTTTTCGTCCTTTCCATCAGCAATGATGCGGTCAATGATGCCTGTGACTCGACCATCGCCTGGGTACACCCTGTTCATTCTAGCAATGGCAGCTTGGATGTTGAGGCCACCGTTCACAAGGTAGGCCAGAATCTGCCAGATCTTGTTGCGGCGGTAGTACTTCTGCTTGATGCCATCATACTTCTGGTTTCTCTCAAGTGCGGTGAATTTCCTAGCAGCCTTGTGATCTCCAATGCCAAACATGTACTCCTCCCACAACTCGTAGATGCTCCTTGGCCTACGGACGAGTCTGGCACTTGAATCAACAGCGCCCAATTTGGGGACTATTGTGTCAGCCACAGAACAACCAAAGGTAGAGTTTCCCGCATGGTTGCGGCGGCGAGCTTGCTCCTGAGGATTTGCACGAACCAAGGCTTGCTCAATGCTACCACCATAACGACGCTGGTTCTCGTTGACTCTAGCAAACTGCCTCTGGGCCCAGGTGCGGTGTGCGTTTTGGTTGGCCTGCATAGTGTCAAAGCGTTGGTTGATTTGCTGCACCATGTTGCCAAGCAACGAGACGATGGCAGTGCCGGTACCATTGCCAGTCAAATCAATGGGCGACGCATTGGAAGCAGCCCCACCAATCGTGGCTCTGGAACCTTCGGTTGAAGTCTGCACGGCAGTGGTAGAAGATTCGGCAGCACCGTCAGCATCGATCACAACCTGGTCGACGATGTGCAGGTTGCCGTCCATGTTTGTGACGACAAGTGGAATCTTCACGACAGGGTTCGAAAGCTGCGGCCCATAATGAGTGATAAAGGCCTGTACCACTGGCTCCTCCATAAAATCTGGGAACGAGTGCTTGGCATCTTCGTCGAAGCAAGCCCAAAGTCTCGCCAGAGCCATGACACGACAGAACCGAAGGTCATTGCTGAATCGTCTGTGAATGTTTGGAACAATCATCTAAGAAGCGCATTTTAGCCACCCAATTTACCAGTGTGCTTGTGCGTGATGGTCTTGTGCAAGAGCCTCTACAGTCCGATGCAGGTGCCTACTATTAACTCAGCTTTGCGTCAAATGATCTTGATGTTGCTTATAGATTCGTACGGTACATTGCGTCATAATAAGCAAGGCTACAACTAGTGTTTACGCATATGCTTAACGAAAGTGCATGGAGAACAGAACATTCTTTACTATTGAACAAGATTCTTGTGGGTGCGCCTGCTTCAACATGCAAATGGGCACATTCTTTGTGCACCAAGCTATAAACAGTTTTCGCAATCGGCATTCATTTTCCTTATGCCCCTTGGACCTGACCGCATTCTGTGCTTTATCCAAGGCAAAAACTTTGGCCACCCCTCAAATCTTTTCCAGTTGCACAAAATAAACACGCACGATGGTCAAATTCATGTGCCCGTACTGCTTAAAAACGTGCAAGACCGACTGGGGTTTGAAGCGGCATCAGGATACAGTTTGCCGAATCCCGCATTCGATTCAGACACGGACTGACCCTGACTCCCACGACAACGACCGTGGGGATGATGACAATGGCGGTGGTGGAAAAAGGAGAGCAAGAGATGATGAGGAGACAAGCAGTGCAGAGGAAAATAGTGATGAGGAAAGACCTAGGAAGAAGATGCACTTGGAGCCAGAATTAGAGGCCATAGAATCAATCACTGACAGAGAAGAAGAAGCACTCCAGACAAGAGGTGACTTACCAGTGGATGCCACCACAGATAGTATTGCAGCTTATTGGGACGGAGAACTGTTGACACAAGGAGCACATGAGGAAGACGTTGAGGCAAGTGCAAACGCATCACACGATGCTCCCCTTCCCAATGTGCAAGTGGATACGGTGGATGGGGCAAGTGAAGCCGACTCCAGTGATGTTGCAGATTTCTTTGATTCCATTTGCTGATCCGTCTGATGAGGAAGCTCAAACCAATGCAGATAATGGGCAAGAGGGCAAATGCAATGAGCCAAGTAGGCAAACAATGAAAGAGTTCAAAGATTATGTGAGAGATGCATGTCAAAAATTTATACCCTCAAGACAAACGAGAAAGCAGCAATCAAGATCATACACACATTGTTCAAAAAGAGGCACACTTTGGATACGTACGATGCTGTGATAGGAATGGCACTTCAAGGAATGTGAGGAAGCTGGCAGAACACCAATCACTTCGTGAGTGCAAAGAGTTCGTTTCGAGCAAAAAATTGATGAAGAACTCAAAACGCAGGTACAACATGGGAAAAAAGTATGCCAACCGATAGAGAAAGTATTGACCCATACCAAGTCGAAGGTCAAAATATATCGCCGAAATGCACGAGATCTTGTCGAAAGCCTTCTGACTGATCCACGATGGAAGGATGAGGATTGGCTGTTCTTCGATAACTAGAACGGTGAACAGATCCTTTTGCACCACCCCCAACGATTTGAAGCAAATTGGGGATTTTCAATACAGGATTAGCATATCGTGAGACCGTACAAGGAAGCTGATCACCAAACCTGAGAAGCAAATTTTGGTTTGCCCTTACCTCTTTACAGTGATGGGGCTGTAACAGGGCATTTTGACAAGCTCCAAGTTACCGCATTGAAAATGTCCCTGGGAATCCTGAACCGTAGGGCCAGGGACAAAGAAAATTCATGGAGGGCCCTCGGATTGGTGAGCAATTACACAAAGGAAGATTCAAGAGGACAAAAGATTTTCACCGAATCGGGCCATGTTGCGGCCGAGGATGCGGCAAGGAAAGCCAATCAATGCAAATGCAAATGATCAGGCAGCAGGCCAGTACACCGGAAAGGAAAGGGATCCAGACAAGGCGGCCGACTATCATTTCATCCTGGAGGAGCTCCTGAAGAGTGTAGATGAGCTTATCAAAGAAGGGATGGTCATGGATATTCGGTACAAGGCAAACTTTACAAGGACTGTGAGCTCGTCTTCTTTATCCCCTTCGTCAAATGTGAGGGGGATGAGGGTGACAAGTTGTGCCTTTCCTTTCGTCCAAGGCAAAAACATCAACAGTTTGCGTACTGTAAATGTCCAAATGATCGAACCGATGATCCAAAGTCAAAGTTCCCATATAAGACGGAATCAATGCTGAAGAAGATGTCCGAGGCCAATGATCATGCGGAGTTGCGGGGGCTCTCACAGATTTGCGCATGGCT